TTATCCAGTGCCCAGGGCACTGAAATAATCTAATTTAGTCATCCATTTGTAACTTTTGTTATAGTGGTGTTTTCTTGCCTCTGTTCAGCATGCACGAGAATCTTGCCAAGACATTGAAGCTGTTTCTTTTTGAGCTGCTTGTTGTTTCCTTAAGACACAGTCTTCCTTTCTCATAAATATTCAACTTCTGCTTAGGCACAAAAAGTCGTGACAAGTCAGGGCACTTCATTCCCTTCCCCTAGTATAAATTCTTATCTTCACACCAAAGTAATCTCAGTAAATTATGTGGTGTAACAAAGAGCAGGCTTTTTCCATTTGGGGTAGATAGAGCATATGCTTTGAAATTTGTCCGAAACGTTTTTGGCCTTTTGCTTAGGAAAAAGTAGTAACTTGACAATGAAGGTAAGCTTCTATGCATTGACATGGAGATGGTGGCCATAAAACGTCCTGGAAGTTCACTGTAAATGGAAAAATATATATATCTTGTTCTCTGTATTTTCAGTGGACTATTTCAGAGTGTTTCTTTCCCTGCAGGATTTAGGGATGAAGCAATGTCCTTATCACTGAATTCCCTAACCCTTTCTGGGGTTTGTTCTGCAGCTACAGTGTTCATTAAGCACATTTTTTAGGCTGTACATGTAGAGATGAAGCAGGATACGGTGGAGATAAGGTGGAATTAGACTGGGACGATTGCATTCCAGGGCGGGAGCACTTCTGTCTCTGCATTCCACAGTATTTCGGTGGTGTTGATTCCATCTAACCTGCTGCAACGTTTCTCTTCACAGGGGGAAGAATTAATTCACTTAGATGGGAAGTGCTGCCCTGAATGTGTTTCACGCAAGAGTTACTGTATTTACAGAGGACATGCCAAAGATGTGAGTATCCTGGTGCTTTGGAGCACCTCGAGAGTTCTGCTCCAAAAGTCTGGGAGAAGGGGCTCTCCTTCCCCAGCTGTTCCGAGAAGGACTTTACTTGCAAGTGGAGGGGAAGAATGATCCACTAATATAATCTCCCAACTGCTCTTAGAACTTACAAAATGTGCTTGTTTATAACGTGTACATCTGCTCCAGTATTTAAATTTGCCTTGCTTTCTTCTGTGTGAAATAGTCATCCCTCCTTAATATTTAATGCACATACCCACTGGTTTCCTGTGAATCTCATGGGCATTTAGGGCCTGACTTTCATACTATACATTTGAGGCTACAAAGCAAAGGCAATGTGTAGCCTTCTGATTATGTATTCTACTGATTATAATTCTCACTGCAGCAGAAGTCCCTTATTTTATGAATATTTTCAAGGAACTTTCCTACTCAAGTTACAGCAAAACAAAATGTTAGGTTTCTTTGTTGAGATATACCCGGGATGGACGTATTGATGCTCTGACAGATGAGTACCAGTACTGATAGCTGCTGTTTGCCAACACACATGGGAAATGGGAAGTTTAATGCTAGTTTCTTGGGCATGTGAAATGCTTTCTGCCTTTTGACTTCCTCAGAGGGAACTGGCAGAGTGATGGAAAACAAGGCAGCAGAGGACAGGAGGAGAGGATGTAAAACGCTGTCAAAGGTTAGAAGGAGATTTAAAGTTTGACAAGTAGGTGGGATGAATCGTAACGGAGGAGAAGGTTGTAATGATCCAGTAGGTCATTATGCAGGTGTATAAATTCAGAGCAGGTAGACGGTATCGTTCAGATCCAAAGTGGATTTTAGCTCCTGTTGCTGTGCTGGAACAAGGACCCTTTGCAGCCTGCCTGGTTTTGCAAGGCAAAAGGGTTGTTTGGCGGCAGAGGTCGGCAGTCCTGTGTCAGCAGGTCTCGATGCTGAAAAAGCCCCAGAAATGTTGACCTCCCTCCTAGTGCAGATGCAGTCTCGAAGTCTACCTGAAGATTTCTTTGCTTTGGGAAAACACCAGGCGTGTGCGCAGGCTCTCCTCGAGCGCCGAGGCAGTAAACACGGGCAATCCTCGCTGTGGGGTGCCCGCGGCCGCACCGGGGGAGCGCGCTACTAACGGAGCTCTTTGGCCTTGTCCCGTGCAGGACGGAGAGACGTGGAGCGAGGGCCCGTGCCGAGCGTGCAGGTGCCGGGCCGCGGAGGTGACCTGCTTGCAGCGCTCGTGCCCGCCGTGCGCGCTGGGCAGCCTGGCTGTGGAGGAGGAGGGCGAGTGCTGCCCGCGCTGCCAGCCAGGTACGGCCCCAGCAACAGCCTTCTCACCCCTGCAGTGTATTTGAACTTGTCTTCATTCCTTCTGCAATTGCTGATTAACTGTTTCCTGATAATTTAATTAGGGTTTCAGGAGCGGTGAGGACTCCACCCCAAGGCTGCCACTAGTGCCCCTTGGTTTAGCCCATGCTCTTTACGACTTTCCTTTGGCAAAAATGTCTCTGGAAATGTTTTGTGTTGATTTTCCCTTTTTTGCAACACAATAAGTTTTCTAAGGCAGAAGGCTGTTACTTTCTGAATCTCAATGAGGGCTTTGGAGTTTATGAATTCATGAGTCCCATTATTTTTGGGAAGGAGAGAGGAGAAATAACCTGCCTACAGTGTTTATGCCACAAGCTCACCAGGGGCTGAATGGCTGCCAGTTAATAATTGTTCAGAAAGATTAGAATAGCCCTAGCTGGGTGTTAACTTTGCATATAAATTCATTTTTCTCCAGGATGTTGTCCTCCTCCTTCATTTATACTTCATAGTTGGGAGGCTTTATCTGTGGTTTGCCAATGTTTTGTATTGGGAGCCGTCCTTGCAGCATTCATCTAAGTTTGTTTTTATCAGAGTGCTCCGGTTAATGGTTTATCTCAGTAAAAGGAAAATAGCTTCCCAGTTTAATTATGCTGTGATTTGCCGGAGTGGCTTGGCGCACTTGCTATATTAATGTTTTAAAGCTTGTTATTTACAGCATTCTAATAAAAATGCAAAGCATTACAAATTGAAAACTGAGGCAAATGGATTTTGGACAGATCGCACAAAATCGTTCTGGAGTTTCAAAAGAGAGCAGCTCTGTTCAGACTGCAAAGGAGAGGAGAGATTATAAAGGGCTCTTGATCCCCATCTGTTCTCTTTCTTATCAAGAGGTGCCACCACATACTGGTTGCTCTTGAGAACACAACCTCTTCTAGAATAGTAACACTGTGGAAAATAGAAGCTTTGAAGTCACTGTACTGTGGCTACTGTGTGTGCCTGTGTTTCTGTGTCTTAAAGGTAAACCTGTCAAGGCAGCTTCTTTCACTGAAGCCCTGCATTTGTCTCGTCTCTTATCCTCTCCAATGCAAAGCAGAGAAACAAATGCAAGATCCATCCAGTTTAATCTGTAAGCCCAGAGCTTTCTAGGCTCTTTTGCAGAACTGACCTTCCCTTTCAAAAATTATGGGAAGAGGGAGACATCAGTGCCTGATGTATCTGTTTCGAGGGAGACATCAGTGCCTGATGTATCTTAAAGCCAGTATACTGGCTTAAGTATACTATACTTAAAGCCAGTATAGTGTAGTGGCTTCTTCTCGTAGACCTGGTGGACGAAGCATGCAGAAAGAGGCCATTTGTTCTCAGTTGGTGTAGAGCATCTGGCCTTCAAGATAGCTGTAGTCTGTTCTTGCTGACAATGTTTGGATTGGGGCAGAGTAGGGTATTTTTCCCTACTTAGGGAAAAATGATCCATTTGGTACCTCTGGGAGCACCCAGTTCCTTGTCAGGTAGTAAGGAAGGGCTTTGGAAAGTTATTACAACAGAATGGCTAGAAACAGCACCTCCTATTCATTTCTTCTGTTTTGCAGTTTGGATTCATTGTTACACTTAGCTGTCTGTTTTCTCCATGTTTCTCCAAAATTCCTGTTTTCCTCCATGAGGAACATTTTTTTGGAAACTTGTAAGTTATTTGGTATAAATGAAGGAGAGTTTTTAGAATCCAAACTCTTTTTGCTGACTTTTCAGGGAGGAACAGAGAGGTTTTCTTCCAACAAGAAGTAACTCAGCATTAAGGAAGATTTAGTCCCTGTCTTGCCCTCTGCAGACAGACCAGCCAGGCTAATTGAGAAGACACCCGTGGTCACTCACATTTTGTGTATGAGTTGTTTTCTGCCTTCCTGACCGAAAGCTGATGTATTTGCCTCTGTGTCTTTCCTTTGTGGCAGTGGAGTGCCACGCGGACTGCTTGACCTGCTCTCAGTCCTTCGATCACTGCAACGTGTGCCGTGATGCCAGGAAGCAGCTGCAGAATGGACGCTGTGTAGACACATGTGAATCGGGCTTCTACCAGGATGCAGGGACTTGCTTAGGTACCCCCTGCAAGGGCTTCGATCCTCTCAGAGCCTGCCATGCTTTAATTTGTGCCTTTGGTAAGTTGCCTCAAGACATTCAGTATTAATGCTCCTTTCTTTGCTTTTTGCTGGAAGCCTGCAACGAAACATGTTCAACCTGTACCAATGGATTTGAGTGCTCCTCATGCCATGCATCCCTGCTGCTGAAGAATGGGCAGTGTGTGACTTCGTGTGGGCAGGGCTTCTTTCAGGATCAGCTCCTCTGTGCAGGTAACTTAACAGAAAAAAAAAAAGGATTCTGTGATAATTTGTTATAGCAAGAGAGCAGACAAAGCTGTATCCAAGCTCTTAGGTGTACTCTTAGTTGAGGGATCTGCTGTTGACATAGGTGTTAATGTTTGCCATAGAGTAAAGCAAGGAGTGAACAGAGGAACGAAGCCGTGCTTGGTAAAATTGATTACTGGTTTAGGGAATATTCAATAAAATTCCTCAGGGGATCATTTCTGCTGGTCTAAAACTCCTACTCTTTAACAACCCTGGTTCAGGTTTTCCCCGCTGTCCTCTTTCAATTCAGAATTCCCTTTTGGAACTGTGACTGTGTGCTTTGTGCCACTGAAGTGTGGGTCAGGTAGTGTGGGACGTATGCGCTGGTTTTGCAAGAGCTGTCACACCGTGAGCTGTGCCTGGCCAGCTGATCTGTTGGGGTTTCTTGGAGTTCAGTGCAGACTAAGCTGCAGCTGCTACTGCCAGACCTCTCAAGAGACAGCACTTGGGAGAAGTACTAGGAGGGATGGAGGTTTGGAGCCAGAGAAAAATCACAGAAAATTCTGTTTTGATGTTTTGCTCTTTGCTTGCCCATTTATCTCATGCAGTGCTCTCTTCCTGATAGTTCTTTGGGCTAACTGTGCTCGGAAAAAGTATTTACAGTGTGAAATAGTAATTCCACATACCACTGAGATGTGTCTAAATCTTTGTGATTTCAAAAAGTGAGATTAAGATTGGGAAGTTTTGATGGAACTATGACAGTGTTTGTATGAGCTTCCCCCACTCCTTCGCAATACTTGTACTTTGTCCAAACTGGTAGCTCCTTTTCCCTCCTGACAATTTTCTTGTTTCTCTAAAGATAACACCTTTGTGCTTTTGAAATTGGCCTTTTTAAAAGGCTTTTAATTCTTTCTGCAGCCTTAATTCAACAGAAGACTGGAGCACAAGTTTAACTTCTTGTGCCATCACTTCAACTTCCTTGGAACTAGCCCTCCTGCTTAAAATTAAATATAGGCTTAGGGCTTTTGGCAGATTTCAGGGGAAAGCACTTTAGACCCTAAGTCCAGCTTCCTTTCTAATACAGCTTGTCTTGAAGCGCTGACTATTTTTTTCACATTTTGAAACTTGGAAAAACCTCCACCTTCCTGCAGTGACCATAGATTAGATCCCCCTTTATACATGTATAATTAGAAAAGAGAGGCTTGGTCTAGAAAGCTTTATAGGCTTAAGTATCAAATGATCTTCTACCTCATTTGATTTTATTTTACTGTTTCCTTTCCACCTGCTCCTGATGTTTTAACTGGCAGTGCCCATGTACTGTTGAAGTAGGAGGGAAAGGCTACTGTTTCGTTTTATTACTGTTTTGTGGATTACTGATTGTACATTCCATCCAAATTTGCAGTCACGCATGCTTGTAGCTCAAAGTTGCTGGGAAAATTTGTTCCTGTTTCCTCAAGGGAATTAAACCAATTTGCTTTAGTTCTGCCTGGCTGCATTTTCTGCATAAAATAAAACCAGTGGAGAAAGCCTTAAATTTCAGACCCAGACCATAATTCATTGCCAGTCGTCCTTACTTTGTATGCTCTCCATTTTAGAAATTTGTTTGTTCAAACTGCCTTTAAACTGTTCGGAACTATTTTTCTTAAAATGGTTTTAAAATTTGTGGTAAGTATGTTCCAAAATCGCAGAAAGAATGAATGAGATAATTGTTACAATTCCAATAAACGATGAGGAATTAGCTTTAAAAAGACCTGTATGAACTGGTTCCTTAGTCCATCCTGCTCTTGAGACACTGTTGTCTGCATTGCAACAACAGAACACAATGAATTTGTCTTTCTGAGGCTGGTTTGCATTTTGGAATGGAGTTGTTTGGTCTTTTCACATTCTACTCTCACACCAGGGTCATCACTCTCCTCCGCCCTCCCTTCTGTACAGTATGGAAACCCTTAAAAGAAAGGAGATTTGAGAATAAAAGGTGGCAAGCTTGGGTATGTAGTGTATTTAATAATCATGGGTCAGACTGAATCCTGCTTAAGGCAGGGTGATTAAGTCTTTCTTGCCAGAAACAGACCATGGAAGCAGCTAAGAAAAAAATAATTTAAAAAAGGCCAGAGCAAAATGAAGGGGAAAAAATATATAGATTTTTATTTATCTGCCCAGTAAAACAGAAGGACTCAAAGGACTTGCAGTTTTCAGTGCACCCACTGCATTTTTGCGATTTAGTTATTTATGTTTTCAGGATTATTCAAAAACCTCGGCAGAACTCGGGTGTTTCTGCTTGGATCTCCCCAAGTGCGAATACCGAAATGTGTAACTTGATGCTAGCAGAGCCGGTCACTCCACAGCGAAGCGCTGGGATTTCTGTCCGTGCCCTGTTCTTCTCTGCTGTGTCCTGACTGCAGAGACTTGCTTTGAGAATGAACCATTGAATGTGGGTAAGCAGAGGGTGCCCAGCTCACAGCGAGGGCACGAGAGGTGTTTCTTGTTGCCACGCAGCGTAGGGCAGCTGGAACCCATCTGTGCTTCCCGAAACTGGAAGGCCAAATCCACTCTCTGAACATCTTCCATTAAGCAGGAGAGTCTGCTGGCTAAGTGCAGGAACTTGCTTTTGTGTCCGCTATCCAGAGGAGAGAGTACAAAATGGCCCTTCCCAAATCTGAACTGAAAATAACAAGAAAAGGTGAAAACAGTTTCCTGGCAATGCAGTCACTTCTGTTGATTTATTATCAGGCACTCAGTTGCTGCAGGCAAAGATATTTCAGCTGACAGTGGTTCAGCAAATACTTGTTTTTTCCCCTTCTTTTTCAGTGGAGTTGGGGGCTGTCTGTGTAGGAGAAGAGTTGATCCCGACAGCGACTGAGAGGGCCTCTGAGCCGGGTCGCTCGCTGCAGGTGCTTTTGTTGATGTCCCACCTGAGAAGGCTGTGACCTGTCCTGTCCTTTGAGTCACTTGCTCTGCTTCCAAACACTAGCAGGCACAGCCGTGCCAAAGCTCTTGCATGAGTCTAGTTTGTGGTAGACTGTGTGTAGCAGGCACAGCCGTGCCAAAGCTCTTATGCATGAGTCTAGTTTGTGGTAGACCTAGACCCAGCAAAACGTGTTGTTGGGGGCTGTCTGTGTAGGAGAAGAGGAGCTGTTGAGCCCGGCAGGGACTGAGAGGGCCTCTGAGCTGGGTCGCTCGCTGCAGGTGCTTTTGTTGATGTCCCACCTGAGAAGGTTGTGACCTGTCCTGTCCTTTGAGTCACTTGCTCTGCTTCCAAACACTAGCAGGCACAGCCGTGCCAAAGCTCTTGCATGAGTCTAGTTTGTGGTAGACTGTGTGGTGCTGGGTGGCTGAAGGAATGATCTAGACCTACGCAGGGATAGCTGGAGGCAGCTGCAAGAGAGAAGTGACTGAAGTGAGGAAGTACCGAAGAGCAGCCAGTGTAGCGCAGGTGGGAGAACCTTAGAGCCAAGCACAGTTGCCACTTTGCTTTCACCAAATGTGCATTTTTAACAGAGATGTATACAAGAGTGTCTGTTTAAATAAAAATGGTCTGAAAGGGAGGCTGTCAAGGAGGAGAAGTCTGTCTGGAAAAGGCGTAGTATCTCTGGAGAGAACTTGAGTATTTTTCTAAATAAATAGGTCAACAAGGACATGGGGACTGCGCTACTGTGGGTATCTTCAGATGTGTTGACACATCAACATTAAAACATGTTAACATTGAGAGGCCAAAGCTGTGTTTGGGAAATCTATTATGAGAAAGTAAGAGCCCTAATGTCCGTCTGCTTAGGAAGATTTTGAAAAATAGAGTGAGCTTAGAGAGGAGCAAAACGCTCACAACTGGAAGGTGAAGTGAGGACATTTCAGCACGTAGGAATTTACAGCGTGAGCTCATGGGCTGTAGTTTGCTTTCGAGTGTGAACATGCCCTGAGAGTCATCCGGGCTGGAATGAGGCGCGGTTTGCTATTAGCAGGGGAAATTATTGATTGGAACAGGAAAGTGTGCACAGTCTTTACCTTGGGACACGGTGCCTGGCGGTTGTTGTGCTCTGCTTCAGCCCCAGCTCCAGGCACTTGGCAGTGTTGACACTGTGCTCCTTCACCTCACTCTGCTGCATTAGACGTGGTCCTGGCACAGAAAGACTTCCAGTCTCACCTGCTGCTGGGAGAGGACGAACTGTCGCTCATTTAGGGAATGTTTTTGTTGTCGATTGTGTTTGTTCATGTAACTTTCATACATAGATGTGCTTTAAGTGAATTAAGCTTCCTAGAGAGTATGAGTTTTCTTTCCCCCGCGAGCTGCTGCTTTGCCTGGTTGATTCTCTGTTGCCCTCAGACTACTTGCACAAGAGTTTTTATTGAGTGGCTGCAGCTTTAGCTGTGCTCATGGACACAGGACAAATATCCTGCAGCTCTGTTTTCTCTCTTTTCCCTTGGTCTGGGAACACAAGCATGTACACGCCTCATTGCGAAATAATACCTTTATGAACGGGTTTCAAACCTATTTGAATGTAATCTAGAAAAAAATCTAGTAGCTTAAGGATCTGTAATTTGCACAGTTGATGCAAGCACTAGGAGCACAGGATTTAACACGTCTGCTGCCCAGATTCCATGAAAACTAACCCTGGCGTTGGCTCTATTTGCCTTTCAGCTGACCAGTTTTGTATGAGGCTACTCATTCAGTGTGTTCGATATGTGGAGAACTGGTCTCCACATAGTTACTAGTTTCCATGTAACACATCACTGTGCTTGAGCACCACCCTGTTCTGCCTGTGTGTTCATGGACCAAGATCTGCCCTGTGAGGAGAGGCTGAGGGAGCTGGGCCTGTTCAGCTGGAGAAGAGAAGGCTGAGAGGGGACCTGAGCAGTGTCTAGAAGTACCTCAAGGGACGCAGTGAGGAGGATGGTGCTGGCCTCTTTTCACTGGCGGCCACTGACAGAACTAGAGGAAATGGCCGGAAACTAAAGCACCAAAAGTTCTACAGGAACTTAAGGAAAAATTTCTTAACAGTGAGGGTGCCAGAGCCCTGGAACAGGCTGCCCAGAGAGGTTGTGGAGTCTCCTTCTCTGGAGATCTTCCAAACCCGCTTGGACGCAGTCCTGTGCCACGTGCTCTAGGTGACCCTGCGTGTGCAGGGGGGTTGGATTAGATGACCTCTGGAGGTCCCTTCCAACCTTAAGCGTTCTGTGATTCTATGATTCTCCTTGCTCATGAAGTGCTGTTCGTGTGAGCAGTCACGCTGAGTATCCAATTCTGGGCTTAGTTTTACATAGTGTGTGGCAGAGACTCTTCACCCTTCCCTTCACTTCATGCTCGTCCAGTGCCTAGCAGGACTGAATAGTGTTAGCAACATCCCTGCAGCTGCAGAAATAACTTATGTTTATTGAATGTCATCTGACTGATGGTGTGAGACATACCTACAAGACAGGTGGCATGAAAATGCTAACATTAAAAGCAGTGCTTGTTTGCTTTCTTTTCCTTTCGTGAAGCCCTGGAAAGACTACACTACTGAAGCAGTGTGAATGCCTGTGAATATAAGGAAGAAAAATGCGAAGGAGTGAATTCCTGCACACTCTTTATTTTGAAAAATCAACTGGAAGTTCATCAACCATTAATCCTTTGCCTTCTTTCCCGCAGCTTGTCACAAGTCCTGTTCCTCATGCTGGGGGCCTTCTGAGAACAACTGTTTGTCCTGCAAAGACGCATCCCAGGTGCTAAAAGCAGGGCTGTGTGTGGCCAGCTGTGGCCAGGGGTTTTACCTGAAGGATGGAATTTGCAGCGGTAAATACCTAATCGTTTTTTTTCTTTTCTCCTATTGCAAGAAGTTTGAGAAATGTTCTGCAAAAAGGGAATCAATATTTCATTTAGCTAGGCAGCAGCTCTAATTTTATTCGTGTCTAAGTCAGATGCACCTTGTGCATAAATAATCGGATGGGAAAGGCTGCTGTTTGTAAGATTATTAATTCATTTAAGCTAATCAGATGCTGAAAGGTTTAAGGTTGTTTCCCTCATTGAACAGCATGAAAGCACAACTGAGATGTTTCTAAGGGCTTGACAAATCCATTTGTCTGCAACGAGAGAAATGGCCCTTGCCAGCGGGTTTTTGGAAATTATATTATAATTCAGCATCACAGTAACTAATACCTGCACAACAGATGAGCCTTGGGAACTGAGAAGGTTAGTTAAAAGAAGAGGAAGGGAAGGCTGGAGGGAATTAAGGAGAAAGTCAAGCAGCTCATGAAGGAAAAAAATCTCATATAAATAATCTAAATTCTGCTGCAACCATACAGGCCAGGTCTCTGCTTCAGGCAGCTCCAGCTGCTCTGAAACTCTGTCCAACAGAGTCCGGAGTAGTGATTCAGGGTTGCCTGTCTGAGCCGCAGCTAGAGAGAGTGGGCTTAAAACCTGGAGCCTGCTGGAAAAAAAGAATGTTTATGGCCACTTCTGGCTGGATTTCACTTTTGACCAGATTCCCTTTTGCTCTGGTTGATGTTTACACCAGTAAATTCAGAAGCATGTGTTTCTAAGTGTGCAGAATTGAAGTTTTACATCTTTATTTGAAAATCAACTGAGAAGAAAGTTCTGTTTAGGTGCGCCTTGCCTGTATTTGTAGATTTATTGCCAGAGATTTCTTACAGCAGCGTAGTTGCTGCTCAGACCCTGTGAAATTCAGATTTTCCACATCCGCCTACGACACGCATTTCGATGCCCAAGTGGAGACCTGTAACCTCTTTTAATGGGAAGCTCTCAACTGGAGCAACAGGTCATTGTGTATCAGGTAATTTGACATTCAGAAATGAATACCAGGATAGTATAGAGCACAAAGATTAATTGAAAACATTGTATTTGATTTTTGATGCATTATCACACTCAAAATTTTGATTTGAAGAAAAGGGGAAGAAGGGAAAGAATGATAAATTCTTTCTCAACTTTTCCACTATCTTTCAATTCCTGAACAGCTTGAGGACTGATTCTTGTTTTGCAAAGATCTGCAAAGATTTATGACGTGATTTTCACACATGAAAGTGCTCATAATGCTGCTGTCTGTTCAAAGATCTCTGGTGAACAACAAAAAAAAAGAACACTGCATTTATTGAAAGGGTTCTTCTGCGTGTCCTAGGACATAGATATTTGTCTCTGGATTCACTGAATAATTGTTATAGATTTTAATTGGGAAAGAAAAAGAAGCTGCTTAGTCTTCTATGCCTGCAGATACCTATGGTACTTTTGCACCATACAAAGCTGATAGTGTGAAATGTCACTTTTTCCAGCAACAGGCAAAAATTACAGACAGACAGAGCCTTGTACATTGAGTTTCAGGGTGTTGACATAATCACAATCTCAATACCTCCTAGTACAGGCCATTTGCTCAGAGTCCTAGGCAGGATGAGGGCAGCTCATGCGTGCTGATCCTCACACGTGTTGCAGGGAGGTGTAGAAGGTTACTTGCCCTGGAAAAGAATATTTAAAGATACCTTTGAACAAAGACAGAACGTGGCACAGTTTGCACTCCTTCATGTCTGTAGCCAGGTTAGTTAATGGTTAATTTTATGCCCCATGAGTGCTTTTGGTTAATGAGCTCTGCTCCTCGGCAGCCTGCGAGCCGTCCTGCGAAACCTGCTATTCGGACCAGCCCAGGTGTTTGAGCTGTGCCCCAGATAAGGTGCTGCATGGTGGGAAGTGCCTTTCGGAGTGCCCAGATGGATATTTCCCAGACAGCAGAGGAAGATGCAGAGGTAAAAGCCATCTTTCTTATGGCTGTCTAGGTACCTTCCACATGGTGTCTTATTTTCCCCAGATGTGTCCTCATGGGGAATAAGAGTGCAAAATTGAGGGTGGGGAAAGGAATTCTAGTTTTTGATTTCTTTGGTTCGCTTGTGATGGGTTATTTTAAATAACCTCTTTGCTTTGTGAAGCGCGTTGAGATATACTGAGATATACAAAAAAACACAGTGTGAGTGGGAGTTATTGTAACTGTTTTGCTGGTTATTAATGCCTGTGTGCTTCCGTGCTCGTTAGTTCACATAGCTGATTAGCTTGCCAGCTCGAAGCTTTCTGTGTTGGCCGGAGGATATTGTAGCCAGCCACATCACCTGCAAGCAGAATGAATGGAGTATTTCAGTTCCGTGTGCTCTTTTTCTTTATCAGCTTGTCACAATTTGTGCTCCACCTGTGAGGGACCTTTGGCCACCCACTGTACCTCCTGTGCCCTTCCCCTGGCACTGCATCTGGGCCAGTGCCTGCAAGGTTGTGGAGAGGGGTTTTACCAGGATCAAAATGTCTGCAAGGGTAAGCCATGGAATTGGGGCAAGTTCCCTGGCTGCGGTAAGTCAGCCTGGTCAATGCTGGCTGTTGCTCTGCTGCTCCTTAGGCATCCTACTGTGATTCTAGTCCTTTATCCTAGGCCGAACTGTCAAGAAAAGAGTAATTCCCCCAGTTGTCTACTGATTGCTTTTCACTTTGAAAAGAAAAAAAAAAACACTAAGTTTGTATATTTGATCTTTGTGGTTTCACCCGCTCAGGATTTAGTGATCTTGGGGTATTTTATCCATGGAATAGATTCCTAGCACTTTGAAATTTTTCTTGACTCGAGATGAATAACATCTTACAGTTGCCTTGCAAATTTGCTAAGGGTGAAGTCATCTTGCAGCAATGAAAAACCTGCAAATGCGAAAGATGAGTTTGGGTTATCCAGGAACCCGTTCAGGCTGTATTTTCTGCCATCTACCCTAGTGAGGTTGTGTTCACCTTTGCAGTTCTAGAATTTAAAATAAAATTCAATGCCTGTGGCATAGAATTGAAAAGATTTTTCTTTTTCTTTTTCTTTTTCTTTTTCCCCTACGTTATTTGGCTATCTACTTTATTTTTTCTGGAAAAGAGTCATTATTTTTTATTAGGAAAGGATGGCAAAATATTATTTAAAAACAAACAAACAAAACATGATTCCATTATAGAAAATCCACTATCTTGCCTAGTTTTGGAACAGTCTTAGCCTGTGAGTTGCTGCAAGGTAGTTGTGCACCCTGGGCCGCCTCTTCGAGCACTGTCCACAGGAATGCAGAAGTGAAAAGCGGGATGTCCGAGAGCGTCCGAATCGGGGCGTTCCCGCTCCGACGTGCTCCGGAAGCCGTGCCCGGGCCGCGGCTCTGACTCCTCTCTCCCTTTGTGCAGGTTGCCACGCGTCCTGCCGCGCCTGCGTGGGCCCTGAGGCCTTCCACTGCGTGTGGTGCGCGGCGCCGCACGCGCTGCAGCCCGATGAGCGCCTCCGGGGAGCTCTGCACGGCCTTTGCCTCCCCCGCTGCCAAGCCCGCTTCTACCTGGATAGCACAGGAGTTTGCAGACGTGAGTGGAAACGCAAACAGTTGCTCGAGGCCTCCAGCAGTAGGTGTTTGGGGTGGTCTCATATGGCGTGGGCTTTTTATGTGTTTGCCTCCTGACAGTCATGAAAACTTAAGCCAAGTAACTGGAATGGCATGTGGTAGTACTTCTGAAGGAAAATACACCCAACAATAGGTTGTGAGTAAAGGATTCGGTTCACCTTTCCAAAGGACTATGTTCATGTCTACAATTTAGCCTTCTTTGAATTGAAGTTGGGGAGGCAGCTTTTACTATTGAATTGTTTTGGATCTTGCATGTCCAGAGAGTTAAAGTGTTTGAAATGGGAGAAGAGAATCTCTCTTCTGTAAAGCTCTGTGACAGTGCTCAAAACATAACTCAAGTCACCTTTGATACTCATTGCTGGAAGAGCATTTTCTTGCTTTTCTCCCAAAGTGAAGCACCATAATTTGTTCTGTGAGACTACTGTGAAGAGCATGGAGAAGAATCACCACAGGTTTTGTGTTCCTTTATTTGCAAAATTATACCAAAGCATCCCTACTCCACACGAATTACCCTAATGCATTTTAGGTCAGTGGAGAGATGGCACCTTACCCCAGTGGGGTATCTGCCGTGGGGTGTATTTGCTGGCATGTTTGGAGAGGCTGCAGGCCTAATCCTGGCGCTCTTGCATGCAGTGCCCACGCTGTGGCAGGAGGTGGATTTTCCTGGCTGGCTGTAGGTTATGGTATTGGAAGTGAATGCAGAAGTCCATACAGCACCACTTCAAAGCGGGGAACAGGTCTGCGCCAACAGGCCCAGGCAGCAGTGCTCATGTACGTCCCTGGGCAGGACTGCCGGCACAGTACATGCTGCTGGTTCTTCTGTCTTGGCAGCGGCGTTGCAGGAGCTGATTTATTGCACAAGGGCCTGAGCATGCAATATTTCAAACTTTGAGCTTCCACCATAAAACACTCAGGGAAAGTGTGCAGATGAACCTTTTTGAGAATGCAAAGCCACAACAGATGCGTACCATGCCTGCAACATCTATTCGGAATAAAAAGGTTCATGTGCAGGTAAAAGCATTAGTTTTAAAAGTATTTTGCCCACGTGCTTGTGAATTTGTCATGAGTCCACAGAAATATTTCTCTACATGTTTTTCTAATGCTCTAGTTCTGTTCTGAAAAATATTAGTTCTTTAGCTACTCAGTTTATATACTTATTTCATCAGATTGTTGCTTTAAACTGGCTTGTTTTAGGAGCAGTATGAAGCAATCTAGCATTTCACCTCTGCACCCACAATTAACCCCTTCTTTTTTTCCGAATAATCCTTCTAATGAGAGCTTAGGAATTTGTTAGCTGTGAAATCACTTGTTACTGCTCCAGGATGGATGATGCCCTAAGCCTGCCGTGGAGCTAGATAGAAAATCCTTCCAGCAGGACCTGCAGGGTGCCAGCAGGAGCTGATTTCAGACTCTGCCCAGAGCTCTTAAAGGCAGGCGTTAGGTGTTGCACTGTGTTGTGCATCTCCACCTTCCATTTTAGAAATTCAGGAATGAATTGCATGGGTTCAAAGACAGATGAAACATGCAGCTATTTGTGGTTCCTCGTTATCTTGGAGAAGTACGCTGCACAGCCTTAGCTCTTTGGCCCTTTATGCCTTTCACAAGCAGTGAATCCTATAAAGCAAATACCTTCATGTTTTCTTAGGGGAGAAAGCAGTCCTACCAGGCTCTAGGATAGAAACAGCAGAGAGAAGCTACAAGGTAATTTGGCCCTCTCTGTCCCTCTGTTTTTCCCTCTCCTGCAGAATGCCACTCCTCCTGTGCGGGCTGCGTGGGGAGTGCCTCCCAGGACTGCACGGCTTGTCCGTCTTCCCACGTCCTGCTCGAAGGCCGGTGCCTCTCCGAGTGTCCGGAGGGGCTGTTCAGCCACGAAGATCGCTGCTACTGTGAGTGCAGAGTGCAGGCATCTGCCACTTAAGCCACCGATTTCCTTGCATGCACATTTTGTAATGTATTTTTCAATGTAATTAGAGATGCTGCGAGATTATATGAGGCTGCTTAAATATTTTCAGGGGAGAAAGTACAGTCCAGTTTCAGGAAATGCAACCTCTGCCTAATGAGAGGGAGGCATACACACTGAAACAGAAATTATAGTCAGGTTTGCTCCCATGGCTTGGTTCCCTGAAAATATTTTGCTTTTATTTCAGCGGTGTCCTTAGCCAGCACATTGTGGCTGAAGAACTCTTTAGCATACTGGGTAGAATTGAGCATGGACTGGTTTTATTAGTCTAGCAAAATATATTGCCCATAAGAAATGGAGTTATTTTTAATCCCCTGCTGACGGTAGGGCTGAGTTTAGGAGGAGGAAATTCTGCAGACGTAAGATAAAAACCACAGATATGCCCGGTTAGGCAGGGGGACAGCGTCACTTGTGCCCTCGGCTTGCCCGTGAGTCAGCGTGAGGCCCTTATCGAGGCCGCTGGACCTCACGATTGTGACTGCGGAGTGTCGGAGCGGCTGCAGCGGCTCGGTCCCCGGGCAGGGACCTGGCGCTGGGGCAGGCAGCTGAGCGGGCCCCTCTAGGCCAGCTGCAGGCTGGTTCTTTTTTAATAGATTTAGCCGGTCAGGTGTCTGTGCATCTGTCCCGGTAGGAGGAGAAATTCACTGAAGTTGGATTGGTTGCTTCCCCAAAAGGCCTAACGCTTAGAAAAAGGCTCTTCTGAAGTCCGTCGTTCTATTTATTCAATCTGTTCATCCGGGGGAAAGCTCTATAAATATATTCCTTTGGCAAGCCTTTGTAAAGATTCATCAATTCTGAGCTCGTGTGCTGCTCCCGAAGAGCTGAGGTAACTGCTGAACGCTGCATTATACCACTTCAGATCCCAGCCTTACGTAAATGTCCTGGGAACAGAATTCCGCTCTCGGGAAAGCGGCGGCTTTCTCTATGCTGCCAGCTTGGATCTCCTGCCTTTCTTGCACAGCACCACTCAGTGAATAGAGGTGTGTCTCGAAGTCTGACTCTTCCTTTTGCTTTTATGGAGCAGTGCAATCATGGGCATAATTTCTGAGAGGGTGGTGGGGGGCGATGGGCTGGGTCTGAAATGCCGGAGCCCTGCGCTGTACAGCTGCGAGAAGAGCCCCAGCTTCCCTGTGGAGAGGGAACCTGGGGAGGCCTGAGGTGGGAGGCTTTGAAGCTGTGTGCCTTTAGTCACTGAAGAGTTTATACACTGGTTTTTAAGAGGCTTTTCTACAGATTAGCTGTAGTACCTTGCATCTGTAGTGTGGGAAGCATGGAAATAAGGCACCTGGCTTTAAAGGTAGATGGATACAAAAACCAGCCTGAGTGAAATATTTTTGAGCAATCTTAATCTCTTTCTCTGCAGTCCTTTTGTTGTGTTTCTGCCAGGCACAGTGTGGCTGATGAGATAGCATCACATTTAGGTTTTAGTGGGTTCAGTCAGGGAGGGATTTGTGCAGAATTCACTCCTGGATTCCCCACTCATGCATATGAAACTCATACCCACAATAATTTTTATATAATACCAAAATGTTTAATTTATGTCTCCCTGGCATCCCACTCTTTCTATATGCACACACATATGCTAGAGGGAGGAATAAATGGGCTGATAAGTGTATTTTGTATAGATCTATACCTTGATTTATGCAGAGAAGAAAAGCAAAGCTTTTAATTTTCAACTCTTTCTTCATTTCCTTTATTAAAAAGAAGAATGTCAAAACCTTCCTAATCAAAACTCTGCAGTCACTTGTGCTTTCAACATGATTTTGTGTCCCTGTAGGAGGAAGGCATTTTCAGAGGAGCCGTGTTCCTGGGCAAGGTGGCAGAAAGGCTATAGCAAGTGCATTCCAATGAGTGTTTGTTTCCCTCCCCAGCCTGTCATCCATCCTGCAAGACCTGCCGCGGCCCTGCGGACGTCGAGTGCGTGACCTGCCATCCCCACGCGACGCTGGCGGGTGGAAAGTGCAGGACAAACTGCAAGGAGGAGCAGTATCTCAACCTGGTGGGCTACTGCGTGGGTAAGGAGCAGCAGATTGCATGGGTCATACACAGGGCCGCTCCCTCTGCAGCTTGTCCTCGAGCAAGGAGCAGTCCTAGGTGTCTGCAATGTCTGTGGTGCTGTTACCTCCAGTGGCCAGAAACAGGGTTGCTTCTGAGAGCAGAGCCAAGCTGGTGGATGCAAGGTCGGGAAAGCTTAGATCCATCACAGAGCAAAGTGAATTAAGGGAACGTTTTTTATGAGAAGCAGCTTATGGGGCCCTAAAGAAAAGCTGGCACAGCTAGGATTGCTTGTGCATTTTGGGGAGATAATAAGATTTATACACAGGGGTTATACTCTGTGGGTGCCCTATGCCTACATTTAAGCCTATCATCAGAAGTAACTAATTGCATTTACCTATTTAAAAAGAGAAATCACTTTTAATCCATCATGCAGACATGTATAAACATATCCTGGGAACCGCTCCAGAAATTTTTGAGCTTTATCAAACCACTTCTTTTCTTTATCAAATAAAAGATACAATGTGTGAGGCTTATCCTAGTCTGAATAGTTCCAAACTGGATAAGCCTAAGAATAGGGAAGAAATGCAGCATACATAATAAATCCTTTCAGAGGCGATCATTCTCAGTGTAGTCTGGATGACTCCCTTTGCAAAGACTTCTTTTTGTTTATGTATGTGTGTTTGTGTGTATTTTTTTTACAAAATGCTTGTTTCTTTACTCTCCACAGATAAATTTTAGAAACTGTTTCTTCATCCCCTTTTTAACCAACAGTTCTTGCTTTACCCGATTACAGTACAGACACTAAAAGGAGGGAACAAGGTATCTCAGGAGTAGGAAGATGCCCCCGAAGTATTGCACTGCTCCTTATGTATACAAGCAGTCAGACTGGAAAATCAAGCTGTTCTATACACACTAGTGATCTCAGTATGGAAATTGGTCAGCATTTCAGTGTTGTGCGCTGTCTCTGCCCTGTAAAATTTCAGGGGATATAACAATGCTCATTAATGTCCTGTAACATCATAGCTGTGTGGACTTTATTTCCTCCACCTTACTTTCCCATTATCTTTCAATATGCTCTCCCTGGTCCCTGGAAATGTGGGACATGCAAGCTTCAAATTTCATTCATTCAAAAAGAAACCCTCCATTTACCACCAACAAGGATTTTTCTGGAGAAGGATTTTCTTTGCTGCTTCCTTCACACTGTGTGCTTTAATTATCCTTCTTAGCCTGCTGTTTCTTGTGAATTTGGTGAGGTGTCATGGAGAAATAAACATGCTCCCCAGATCTCGGGAGGTTAAGCAGAACTCAAGGGGCCTGGCAGTGATGGGGACTGGCAATTGGGAAGAGTGGGGCCACTGGGGCATTGCGGAGGGCACGGGTTGACCTGGAGACTCCCTGCGCTGACAGGGATGAATCAGCAGGACAGGACCTTGCCTGACTCTCTGCACCGCAAAGCGGCTGCGCTCTGGTAACGCCTCCTTTCCTTGCACATTAAGCAAGCTTTATTTCAAAGCCCAGCAGGCCATGAACACTGGCCACTCTTTGTAGAGCTGTCTTCTCAAAGCAGGAACGTGTTTTCAGGCTTATTTCACCGCGGCTGGAGTGGCCGCGTGTACGATACAACACAGTAAGAGGATAAGGAGCCATCCTTCCTCCCCCAGCTCTATCCCTGGCCTTGCCATGTGACTTGCTCCGTGGTAGAGAGGCCAGTGTACATTTTTGCTTGGTCTTCGTAACCTGTGGCCCCTTAATGTCTGTGTGCTTTAGATGCAGTGATGTTCCTCTATCTACCTGACATAGAGGAACAGTGTTATTTGCTACCTTGAAAAGAAAACTCTGGGCTTTGGTCTTGGATTTGCGGTTAAAAGTGTGTTGCTCCTTGTGCCACACTTGGGCCTGGTGTTTAAGCAGATGATAAGTGTTGCTAGTTCTGCTACAGATAAAGAGCCTGTTAAATTTCACTCATTTGCCTCATTCGGCACTGATTGAACGGCTAAATTTGCCTTGGCAGGTTATTAATTACCAGCTAAAGAGCAGCTGTCCCATAAAAGAAAACAGTGAAACCCCTGACACTTGCCTTATACACTATTTGCATGAGAATCTAACGAAGCTTTTTCCTTTGCTTCCCCAAGCAATCTTCTTTTTTTTTTTACAGTTATCTTCCCATCTATCTGCTATTCCTCATCCTCCAGGCAGAGCTGTGTGGTGACTTATAGACACTGCCGTGCATTATAGCCATCTGTCAGACTTTATAGACTGTGGGGAGAAATCTTTCACAGAGGATGGAGAAAAGCAACTGTCACTCGAAACCATTGCCTGTGAATGAATGTTTTTATTGTGCATGTTACCCGAATGAGGGCTGGAGCATTCACCTTGTTAACAGAAAAGGAAAAAAGTCTCAGTTATAGCAGTTTAGCAAATGAGCCTTTCAAGTGTAAGCAGATGAATGATAAAATGGCATCAGATTTTATAGGATCGGTGACTTTCCAAGCTCTTGTTGGGGTACAATGTATTTGTGCCAGTCTTCTGGAGAGTGCTCAGTTTATGAATTTTATTTTATAGTTCAAGTGTATGCACAGGAGCGTGTGCATAGTTTTAGCCATCCTCTGTGGAATCTCAGGTCTTCTGTGTTTTGTGCTTTCCCACTTTGTAAAGATTATTTGCTTTCTCTCTCCCTCTCCAAGTTGCTCATGCGAGACAAGTTAAATTTCAGTTACCAATCTAGGATGTAGCACCATCATTAAAACTGTCGTCCTGCTCATAACACCCTATATTAATACTAAAAAACTGTTTCTGTTTTGAAAAAGTCCCATGCCTGCCTCGAGGTTTCTTCCTTGCTCTTCTGAGTCAATGGAAGCATGCAGCAGATGAAGCAAGAAGCTTAAAAGCCTGGTAGGAACACTGACAACAAGAAATACACTCAGTTCCTTGTAAAATTAATGCACTGCTGGCGTACTCTTAGATACTGATATCATCCCCAAGAGCTGGAGTCTCCCTGAGCAGAACAAGAGTGAGGCTTAGCTCCACTTAGTCACTGAGGTGCAGGTTCCTGCAGAAGTTACCAGCTGAGGAGACCTAAAGACCGACTCCCCACTTTGATCCGGGCTCATTTGTGCCAGGCACCATCTACCTGGATCTTCTGTCCAGAGGAGCTCTCACCCCTTTCAGAAGGTGCCAGGCAAATCCTGCAAGCAGGATTTCACTTCACTAGGAGTTCACCTCACTAGTTTATGTGGCAAAGTTCAGCTGGCTCTTTTTAGGAGACAGATGGAAAACCCCTGGAAGAAACAACAAAACAAAAATCCCGGTCAGTTCTAGGTGGCTAAGAATGAGCCGAGTCAGCCACAGTGACTTCTCTTTCTGGATTTATTGCTGCATGCAGACACACCTGTAAATTACATGTGTTTAGAGTAGTGTCTTGTTGTAATCCTCATACCATACCTGAGTAAGTATAATGTGAAACTCGAACCAGGGAAAAATGTTCAAAAGAGCCTTAGGCAGGAAGGTGTATTTGAACAATACAAGTGGTTGATTGTTTTGCTAGTGGAGGAGCTGAGTGGTCGAAATGCCTCTGCTTTCCTTTCTGAGCATTCACAAACACTTCAAAGATTATTTTGGCTTCCCAAACAGCTCCTCTCTGCTTGTGGGCAAGGAAACAGTTTGTAGATGCTTTTCCATGTAAGAAGGGCACTATTTTGTTTACATTTTTTTGCATGCTAAGAAAAAGCTGCAGTGTGTGTGGTGATGCAAGAGCTGTGAAAACTGCTATCTGTGAATCATGATATTGTGCTTTGCACCATATCACCTGCTTTATAGCGAGATGCACGATATTTAAATGTTGCACAAGGGTTTGAACTGGCAAAGAAGAGCAGCCTGAAAGGGTAACAGGGAGAAGTTTTGTCTGGAGAGTGGGAAGCAGCTTAGTAATCTTGAAAAGATGAATGGGAGGCAGAAGAATCCAGTCTGGATAGTGGAGGAAGTCTAAAGGAATTGGGTAACCAAAGTGGCTGTCAGCAAACATGCTGGGCATGCAAGGCCAGGTACCTCCCAGGGTTGCACCCCAGCTGAGCTGCAGCGAGGACTGCGAGGGAGAAGGCAGGAACAGAAAACAAATATGGATGTGAGATATTGCTGAGAAGCATCGAGCAAATGCTCTCCTCCCCTCCTCCTTCAAAGGGAGCCTGCTGTGAAAAATCTAAATGATTTTTTCCAATACAAAGTCCTTCAGTTCTTCCTTCCCTCTGTCGCTGGTTTCCCGAGGCCCTTCAAATTCAGCACCAGTGTCAGGGCTTTTTTGCCAATGTGTGCTCTTTGATCTCCAGGTTTTCAAAGGAACAAGAAAGGTATGGACTGATTTATCATAAAACAATAAAAACAACAAAAAAAGACTTCTTTCAACATATAGGATCATAGATAGAGGCTTTCAGGAGGAGCAGCATGTGCTGCAGCAGCACCTGGTTTTGTAGAGACTTAAGACTTTTAAACTTGACTTTGGGATGGTCATTTACAGTAGATTCTGGTTATTTGGGCTCCCTACACTTTCTCTCTATCATTTTACCTCTAGCCCTCGTTCTCACTCAGCTTTAGCTCCCCTGTGGCTGCGAATATCCTCCCGCCAAGTCTGCAAAGTGGCAACAGGGACTGCACAGGTCAGAGACTGTGAAGCCAGGACGGGGAGGAGGCAGCTGCTTTGAGGGCCTTGCACACTGCATGCGCTCGGGGCCGGGTTTATCTCCGAGCTGCGTCCGTGCTTCCTGCCCGGGGTCTGGAGGGGCTCCTTGGGTGTAACGTTTAGGAGAAAGCAGGCTGGGGCTCGACACTAACTGCTGCTGCAGCTTTTGTAGGGGTGGATGCAGAATTCCCTGGATCTCCTACGTGACCCACCCTGTCTTCAGCTCGTAAAATTAGATTGCCTGACAATCTCTAGTGATGCTCTCAGGAGAGTCAAAGGACAGAAAGCTGAGCCACCACTAGAAACCTGACAGGAGGCCAGGTACTCGAATCAAGCCTCATTATTACATTTCTTTCAAGACAGTCGTCATTTCCTTTATAATTTTCTGAATTACCGTAATGAGGATTAATTTGGCTTCCAGGTTGCCTTACACTGCACTGTTGTGCATACAAAAGGCTGCTTGTAAAAGCTTTTGAAGCGCCCAAGTTCAGAGAGAGGTCAGGAGACAAAAGTTTCTGGGGGAAAAAAGGGAAAAGGTTTCAAGGCACTGTCATGCAGCTCTCAATCCAGCTTTTTGCTTGGCTTTGAGGTATGCTGCGGCCTTTCTGGGATACAGATGTCTCATTTGTGTAGGAAACTCTGAACAGTAAGAGCCGTGAGAGAAGATGATGGGCTATGCAGGTCATGTTCTTTATTTTGAAAGGGTGGGAGCAAAGGGGAGCGAATGCCTATAGCTGGCAGCATGGTTTTGCTAGAGAAACTTGTAGGTAAACACACCTAAAACAAAGAAAGGATGGGGAAAGCAGAGCACTTCCAGCTGCCTTCTGGCCAAGCTTTTCCACGTTAGTTTTAAGAAGGAGGGAAGAGAAGATGCTTGAGCGGAGCTCTGAAGATTCCTTCCCTCGTGTGATCCTTGGTATTTCCCCACGGCAGCTCTCGGTTGTTTACCTGTGGTCACAGTCTCTGTTCTTCTCTGCCTCTTCCAGACTGCCATCCGCTGTGCCGTGAGTGCGTGGCCAACCTGCGGGACACCGGCAGCGTCTGCCTGACGTGTCAGAACGGCCGGCACTTCCTCCTGGGGGATCACTGCGTTCCCGACTGTCCAACCGGCCACTACGCCCGGAGCGGGGCCTGCGCGAGTGAGTAGCCCCTGTGGCAGCTGCCAGGCGAGACCCTGCGTGGAGCCTGGGGGGTCCTGCCTGGCCGACGTCTGCTGGGTGCCTGGGGACGCTCTCGCTGCGCTGCTCCTCCTCTCTGCCTGGCTTTAGACAGCGTGTTCTTCAAGGCCAACACTTGGAGGCCACTGTAGGAATACTGTTAGGAACTGTAGTGAGTACCAGAGTGCAGTATTTGTGAGGACAAGGTGAAGGTGAGTGGCTGTATCTCCTGTCGCTCAGAGGTGATGGCACAGAGAATAGGGTGAGGGTATGCTGAGTTGTGCGCTGTCTTGAGGCTGCTCCTAGGAGGAGATGGGCCCGTTTATCCACAGTCATGGATCATTTCACGTGTCCTTCACTGAGGCTCCAATTTGTGCGATACCAGCACAGTTCTGGGGTTTTGGTCCTTAAAGATACTTCCTGGACGTGTGCTGCAGCCACAAACTGAAACACCAGAAGTTCCACAGGACCTTAAGGAAAAATTTCTTAACAGTGAGGGTGACAGAGCACTGGAACAGGCTGCCCAGAGAGGTTGTGGAGTCTCCTTCTCTGGAAATCTTCCAAACCCGCTTGGACGCAGTCCTGTGCCACGTGCTCTAGGTGACCCTGCGTGTGCAGGGGGGTTGGACTAGATGAGCTCTAGAGGTCCCTTCTAACCTTCTCTGGCACAACAAACCGGCTTCATCAGCTCGCGTGACAGTAGACGCAGCGCTCCGGCTGCATCTGGTGGTGGATTGATAGCTCATTCCGTTCTCTAGCTGTTGGGCCTTCACCTGTCCCTGAGTCTGCTGCAGTTTTTGTTCTTCTTTATGGTCTCGTCTTTTGATCTTTGTGCTGTTCTGCGTTTCTTGGACTCCTCCTAGAAGGAAGTAGGTTGCTTTCCTTGTTACGTGGCCTGCAGAGCCTAATGCATCTTAATCTGAAAATGGAGTATTGCAGGTTATTTTAAGAGAGGCAGATGAAGACGAGAAATTCTGCACATTAAAGTCAAGATCTAGAAGTCAAATTTGGTCCCGCTACAGGAAGGGGCATTGTCTAACCTTGTCTAAATGTTAATGGTTACTGTTTCAAAGAGCCTGTCAAAGATTTCAGGAGTTGTGTGTTTATTTACCTGCTTTTAGCAAACAGAATCTCTGAGATGTATGAATTTTTCTCCAAATCATTTAATATCGAAGACTCCTGAGAAAGAAATTCTGCCTCCCTGGAAATCCAAAGCTAGGGACAACATTTCCTCCATTTGGTATGAAGTTTTCATTTAAAAGCAGTGTTGCATTATTCAGCTTGTCAAAGCTCATATTGCATTTTATGCTGGTTTTTAAGATCTCCAGCACAGTGCAGTGCAGTCACTCCTCTTAATTTTCTGCCCACTCTCACGGGTGAATTTGGCCTGATGGATATAATGATGCCATCGTTCTTTAGGTAAAGACTCATCCTGAAATTGAACAGACAAGTAAGTTGGGTCTAAGTTGTTTTCCCTTTCCAGAAGGACAATAGAGTAGATTGGCCACAACCACTGCAGGATTTTAAATCTCTTGAGTCAGATTAGGAAGCAGAAGGACTGGGAGAAGAGAGGATGAGGACGTGAATGAGAGCCTCCTGCAGGTTGGAAGGGGCTGTGATACTGGTTCTGAGTGCTGACCTCCAGTAGCTCTCAGAATTTAGCGAGAACTTGGGATACTTAGTGTTGCTGTGCTTGGTCTCTGAGCCTGCTTCTGCTGGACCCTGTGGAACCTGCTTAAAGATCTGCCTTAGTGTTGCTGTGCTTGGTCTCTGAGTCTGCTTCTGCTGGATCTGTTTTTCCTTGAACAGAAACATCTGCTCTTGCTGTCTCTGCAGGATGTCACCCCTCATGCAAAACCTGCAGCGGCGAGGGCCCTTTTTCCTGCTCTTCCTGCGACAGCAGCCTGGTGCTCTCCCACAGCAGCACGTGTGTTCCCGCCTGTTCCCCAGGATACTACAGAGACGAGAGCCGGACCTGCAAACGTGAGTGTCTCTCCAAGCCATCTCTCCTTCCCCCAGGGTAATCCCCAGCCTATGTTTTCCTGCTCCTTTGCTACTGTTTCTATAGCTGGAAGACTTCAGGTGGCTGAAAATTCAGAGTGAGTTGACAGAAGTTGCTGCTGCCTGAGACACGGAGCCTACAAGAAGGCTTTAGATTGGAACACAGTTGCAGTTTTGTTATTGACTTCAGAGACAGGAGGCCTTGGATTTCATGGAAAAAAAATCTGCCAGAGAGCTTGTGTAAAGCTACCTTGTCCAGGCAGTACATAAAGCAGTGGCCAAAAGAACTGGTGGACTCCAGGTTTTGTGAGAATATGACATGGTTAGACCAGTTTTAGCTCTGCTAAGACCTCAACACTTATGGCAAATTTTTCCACTGCTGAAAACTCCAGTAGAAATTAGGTGCAGCCAGGTAGACACATCTCTGGCTTATGTAGTCAAACCGTGGTGTTTTTATGTCCGATGATCTGATGCAATTAGTCTGATGCTAAGTCCAATAATATTTATGTCTGTGCAAGCTACCATACCTTGTGAATCACCCAGGTGTTTCTTTACTTTTATTATTTTATGGTTTTTTTGGCCTTGACATCAATTGAGTTATTCCTCACATAATTATTGGACTTGATGTTCCAAAATGCCAAATTTTATGACCCAGAGAACTAAAAAAATACTAAAATGCCTTCTTAAATTGACTCACTATAATACACACACCTAAAAATAAACGAGTTCTTAAATGATTTGCTTGCTCTGAACCTGAGCACTCAGATCTCTTAAGTCCTGTGTTACAGTAATTTAAGTTCCCCTGATTTATGATAGAATAACTCCATTGCTCTGCACCGAGAGTAGGTATCAGTGTCATCCTATCTAGACCCAGTTTATTTACTAATGAAGTTTGATAGGAGGAAACTGATATGGTTGTCAGCTTTACTTGGCTTTTGTTGAGATTTATTGTTCTCTGGAAACTAATATTTCCATCGTATCAGCAGAGAGGGAGGCACCTTGCATTAAGTTCAAGGAAATAGCTGGAAGAATTTGTGCTATTCTTCAGTTGGCAGAAAAAAAAGAGGCTATTTAGTAATTAAAAAAAGGAAAGTAATATAAAAAGGAATAAGAAGAGCAGAATCACAGGATTCTCACTGTCCTGCCTACTATCATGCGAGTTCTACAGGGTGTTCACTCTGCCCTCCCGCTGCCTAGATTTTCTTGTCACTAGTCCAAAATAGTTTTCTTATTAATGAAAATGCCCTTTCCTAATGAAAACTTTCCCACTGCTAGCCCCCCTCAGGACATCCTGCTGCAAGTGGAATGTTCCCGGGCACTGCGCCCTTCCTGGATTTAGGTTAGTAGCTCAAATGCAAAGAGATTTTTTTGCAAGCAAACTCTCACTACAAGGAGACGTTTCTAATCTGCTAGCTGGTGAATGGCTTTTTAAGAAGTGTGTGTAATCCTTGTGGCAGGAGGCTCAAGGCAAAGTGTGTTGGGGCACTGAATTTTTGTCATTCCAATTGTCTCTTGTGCCTTTTTCAAGTGAAGTACTGCTGATAAGGCATGTAGGTGCAAACTGTGCCAGGCTGCTGCAAAACTACCACTTGGAGGTAATGAGGATTGGTTAATCAGAGGTTGGCTGTCAGGCTGAGAAATTTGCTGTCTCTCTGAAGTATATTGGAGTCGCGTTGCGCTTTTGAGGAACTCAGGTTTGGATTAGAGTTCAGAGGAATGCTGAGTGCATAGACCTGCTCTCTGAGAAGTTTTTAAGCTCACTGAAATACTGGCTGAGGAACAGGGCAAAGCTTAACAAGCTCTTTTGGGGTTTAAAAATGTAGGTGTGGAGTCATGCTGATAAGAAAAGCAGATATGTTTGCTTTCAAATGTAGTTTTTGCTTACTGTTCAGGAATGTCTGTTTGGGTCACTTGATTTCTGTTGATGTTTTCTGCATACCACACTTCATGTGGTGATTTTTGCCATGCTTTTAATACTTTCACAGCATCTTATAAATAGTAATTATTCCATGTAATATTCATGTTGTATTCAATTCCAGCTAATAAGTTAGCTGCAATGAGACTGGCACTAAAGCACCTGAAAACAGTTGCTGGGTTTTGCTAGAAATTCTGAATTTGTACTTCAGCAAAATCCAGGCCTTCTGTGACATTCTTGAGATGAGATAAAACAAGTAATTGTTTTGAAGGGCACCTTGCATTGGATTTCAACAAGAGCAATGTGCATATTTTCAGTTGTGTTTCTGTATTTCGAGGTTTGCAACCGTAAAACTCAAACCTTAAATGAAAAGCAGAGGGAAATGAATTTCCATAAATAGCATATTTTGCCATTGCAGTGTTTGCCAGCACAGGAATTACAGGGTACAGGGTTTTTTTTGTGTAAAGCAGACATGTAAATCCCCATGAGTTTTCTCCACATGCAGTGGCAATGTGCTGTGAATCCTTGGAAGTGGTTGATTATTTTGGAAATTCTTTGTCTCACCAGTATCAGAGTGGACTTTCAGCACATGGGGCAAAGTCCTGGGAAATATTTGTCAGTTCTTCACAGTAGTATTAAATCCTCTGCTGTGAAATAGCTAAGAGCTCTGATATCACCAGGTTACTAATATAACTCCTGCAAAGTTCAGGCCCTGGGTGTCAAAGAGGTGAGTTGAAATATTCTGAACCTCTGGACTTTGATCTTAGGTTCAGTGAATTCCCAAATTTAGTTTTTTCCTGGCCTTCCTATTTGCTTCCCAGAGTTCCAAAATGTCAAACTGTCCAGCTACAGAAATAGGAAAAAAAATGTGAAATTTGGTGGGCCTGTGGTTCCCCCAGGGGTTGCTCATTTGATTGGAGCCATTCATTATGGTCTCTAAACAGGTGTCTTAAGTCTATAATCATTTAAAACATAGCACGCTTAAAAAGAACAACAGTAGCAAAACAAGAAAATCAAAACAGAGACAAGGAGAGCTCTTATAAGGAGATCTGAATTCAATTTCATCCTAACCTTTGCAGAGGAGAGAAAGAAGCAGCGCTTAGGAGCAGCGTTATGAAGGTCTATGCGGAGACACAGAAGTCTTTTTCAATTTGAGGGAAACTTTACATTTTTGAAGTTATCAGGAGGGATGCAAGAAGCAGACACTGAAGTCTCCATGGGTGTCTCTCATGACCTGGTGTAGAGAAGCTACAGGAAAAAATCATTTTTACTTGTGCAGTAGGCTGGTACCTCAATAATTACAGTTATTTCCTTTCTCTTTCCACAGCTTGCAACAGCCAGTGCCTGAGCTGTGAGTCAGCCGCAGGCTGTACGTCCTGCAGAGACCCTGCTAAGGTCCTGTTGTTTGGAGAATGCCAGTACGAGAGCTGTGCCCAGCAGTATTATCTTGATTTTTCCACCAAGACGTGCAGAGGTGAGAAATACTTTGCTGGCTTGAAGAAAAAATAATAATTGCAACAAACTGGGCTAATACTTTGTTATAATCCGCGGCATGATCTATAGAGGTGGCCTGCTATAGAAAGCATGTGCGAGGGGGCAGCTGCTTAGTAACACACCACTTTGGAGGTTTTTGTAGTTTTCCTCTTTTTCAGGAGGCTGCTGTCACATACTTCCACCTTTCAGTGAAAAACAAGATTATTGCAAATCCGTCTCTTGTAAATGATTTAGTAAGTGAGCCAGCAAACTTTTCAGGAGTCAGGTTGTGCAATTCCTTTAGTCATGGCTCAGCTGAATAATGAGTGAGCTTACCAGGCCCTTCTTTTTTTAGAGTGCTTGTAGGGCCTTGTGTACTTACCTGCTTCCCTTTGACTTACTAAATACTGCATGGCAGGATGACTGCAGCAACAACATTTGGGAGCAATTTAAAAGATCCATGACTTGAAAGATTTCGAGAACTCCCAAGGAGAGGATTCATTAATGGTAATAAGTGAGGATAATGCGGGCATATTGCAGAATGCCACTACCTGAGGATTTAATACAGTCACTTGTTGTTCAGTGTTTGTTTCTACCTGGTTCTCTCTCGTATCCAGACCTAGCTTAACTGTGGCACATCTGAGGAGGAATAATGCAAGGGCACCTGGAGATGTCTGTGATCCCAGCGGTACCTGCTGCATTTCTGGCCTTCTGACTCCTCAGAGTGGCACTCCTCGGAGGGCAAGGGACAGTGGTTTCATCCTCTTGTGGTCAGAGTGGTTAGAACAGCTTTGAGGATCCCAGAAGGTGCTGCGTTTGCAAGGGACGAGATTGATCAAGTGGGCTAGATAATTATTAATGCATTGGATAACTATTAATGAACAGCAAACCCAGAGTTGTAAGAGAAGGAGCCTCGATGCTTTCAGGGTAAAATCAGGGTCTACAAGCTACGGAGCTGCACCCGTGTCACAGGAGTTTGAGTGCTGAACAAAAGCTAAGCCAGCTGGAATCTGGCTTGTTAAGTTCAAGAGGTGGAAAAAAAGGATGTGTCTTATGTTGTAAGAAGTCACTCAGTACAAATTATACTTTCTTTTTAGTGTCTGTTGAACAGTTCTTTCTCTGCTGTTTGGGCTTACACTCCCCTAGCTCGTAGGTCCCAAAGGTGCCCCTCAGTGTTTGTGCAAGTGAGCTAATACACCCTGGGGAGGGCTGCCCTATGTTAAACTCTCTTTTTCCAGAGTGCGACTGGAGCTGCAATGCTTGCAAAGGCCCCCAGAGGACCGACTGCCTGCAGTGCATGGATGGCCACGTTCTCCATGAAGGAGCTTGCCTGGAGCAGTGCCCCTTAGCTTTCTACAGGGAATCAGACACGTGCCAGAGTGAGTTCTTCTCCAGCTTTGCTTCTAATCACTGATAACAACATGTTTCTCTACTTGTCTCCAGCGTGTGCCTGTCTTGCACTCAGAAGGCACGTGCGTTCAGGGAGCAGCTGAGCTCTTTCTCCATGACTTCTAGGGTGTGATGAGCGCTGCCTTCAGTGTCAGCAACCGGGCGAGTGCAGCCTTTGCGAAGCCCCCTTTTTCCTCCTGGACACTCGTTGTGTTCTCAACTGTGGGAAGCGATATTATGCAGAGGATGCCCAGCGAAAATGCACAGGTAAGCAAAACAGGAGCGAGGTGGCCGAGAGGGATGGGGGTTGTGGTCTATTTTGGTGCACTGCTATCTCTCTCAGAAAAGTATGGGCAAACAGGAAGCAATTCTGGTGCTGTGTTAATGGGGTTCTGCTTTTCATCCGATTCAGCTTGTCCTCATGGATGCTTGGAGTGTGTCAATGACAGCCTGTGTCACCTCTGTGACAGCAGCACCTTTCTGAAGAACAAAATTTGTGTTTCTGCCTGTGGCCAGGGTTTCTATGAAAATGTGTGGACCAGAGAGTGTGACGGTGAGTGTCACTTGTGGTAAGGCAGCTGAGCTGGCAGACTTCCAGCACACTTTAGGATCAAAGATAAATGTTTGTTCAGAGATATTTTTGGAACTGTTTTGCACAGTGTTTTGTTGGCCACAGAGAGCGGGCAGCTCTTTCACTACAACTCTTTTACTGTATAAAATGTTCATGAACATGGATTTCTAATGGAAATTACCCGTTTTGCATGGGATTTTTCAGTCACAGCATTGTATTTTCCCTTATCATCGGTATAAAACAACAATAAAAATGTCATGGGGGAAATGCATTTTTGAATCAACTGTAATATCTTTTACGTGTTCCTATCAGTACATGGACATTTATTAGTTCATTTGCAGAGTTTGTCAGTGTATGCTGGTTTTTAGTTTTGGTGGTGGGAACTGAAGATGGAAAGTATGTTGCCCAAGTCCCTCAAAATCATAGTGGGGATTATTTGGGTTTGTCTGCCTTTTTGAGGTGGTGATTGTCCACTCAGCTCAGTGATGAGCAAGGCTTGAAAAGAATGTGTCATTCCATCATCTAACAGATGGTATGGACAGACATGGGCATCTTAAAGACAGACAAGATGCTAATACTGCCCATGACTGTGAAATGAGAGACACGTTTTCGGTAATATCTCTCCCTTCTCTCTCTTTTTAGATGGCAAGCATTTGAGTTTCCAAGTGACCGATACCCTCACAGTAGGGATTGGTGGAGTAAAGCCCCTAGACCTCTCCTTACTAGAGGTGCATGACACGAGTGGTGACCCAGGACAGCTCTTGTTCCACATGGACAGTGCTCCCTCCAACGGCAAACTGGTGATGGTGGCGAATGGGAAAGAGGTGCAGCTGGGGAAAGGCGACCACTTCAGCTACAAGGATGTGAAGGAGAAGAGAGTCCGCTTTGTGCACAGCAAAGAGAAATCCAGGTGACTAGGGAAAGTCTTTCTGAACCCTTCCCTTTAGAAAATGGACATATCTTGAGACCAGGCATTCCCTTGTCCTGTGGAAATGTTCTTATGGTGAAATGCGTATCTCACAGCTGCTAAAAATAGTATTGCTGTATTTTGGAGATATTGTGCCATAATATAAAGCATGGTGCAAAACTTTTCTATATATGATGTAAGTTTTCACTGTGATGCAGCTGCCAGTCTGTTGTGCTTTGGGGATGCAGGGTCTGTCTTGTCTTTAGAATACTCTTTTTGGATGATAAATACTGGCATTTTGCTGGCTTTTATGACAATTTCTTGATACTGTCATGAAAACAAATGTCCCTGCTGTGCATGACAGCATAAACTGCTGCTTTGCCTGCAGCATGTGCTCCGTTCGTTTCTTGGGAACATTAGAGGTGCTTAGCACCTGGCAGTGCTTGCACTGTGCGCGTATTGCAAGGAAGCAAATTCCTCCTGGCTGCCAGGCAAGGAGCCAGTCATACTGCCAAATTCTACGCTCGCTTTACAGCACCGTAGAACCCTGAGACTAGACTGAAATCCACATAGTTTTCTAGATTTCTGCTTGCCTGAAGTTCCTTTGACTCATTATTTTCAGTAAGACTTTCAGAGTGTCCTTCTGATGGCACGGATTAGCTAATGCTCACCAGATTCAGGACAGCTTGTTTCTCTTCTGTCTGAGCACTGCAATAAGTATTGGGATCTTGTCTTGAGAAAAACAGGTTTTTTTGTGTTCAAGGTGTTTTGTTCAAGGGCGGCATTTTGAAAAAATAAGTAGGAAGCAAAGTTGCTAAAGACTGGGGACTGCTGTGTTGAAACCAGATAAATGGCATTTTTCTTTAGCAGAGACTAGTTGACATTTAGAATCAGCGCTTAATCTTGGACAAATTATCTATGTGGGTAACACATAGATGGAAATGAGGGTGTGTTATTACATCTTTGAAAGAAGATGACAGTATTTTATTGTATGTTGTGAATCTTCAGAAAAGATCCTGTAAAGGCGTAAGTGCAAAAACTTAATCTAAAGCATCTGTCACTATGTGAGTCATTTTTACTGAATGTATAATAGTTTATTGTATTCTGTGAGAGCACTTAATTCATTTATATTATCCTGTGTTTTGGCGTTTCTGGGGACTTGTTTAGGAAAGGGCAGTTTTCCCTGAAGGTCAGCGATCAACAGTTCTTCTCCCATCCTGAGGTGGTCAACATTCAAGCGCTTTCAACACAGGTAATAAAACAAATCTTGCAAACAACCTCAATTTTTATACCTTTTGGACCCCTGCTTCCTCGCAGTGATAGCAAAGGAGCTGGTTAGAGCAATAGCTGGTGTTCAGGTCACATTAGACTCAACTGCCACCTATTTGCAAGGCAGTCAAGAGCAATTTGAAAGAACGGGACTGGGGTAAGTGAATGAAGAAGCTGGCCCATGTAATTTTACTGGTGCGGGATCGTGATGTGCAATCATAGAGCAATTATCGGTGCAGGCTAAAGAGTCCCTACTGTTTAAATTATTCTTTGTATCAGTGGATGGTCTAGTTGCTCAGTTCTCTTACTGCAGGCCAATTGAATGATGATTGATCCCTATGGTAGGGACACTTTGACAGTTGAGAGCATTTACTTAAATGCTCTGTTCCAGGGCAGACAGAAATTAAATGAACACGGGTGCTTTGAAAGGCACTTTTTCCATGTGTGTGTGTGTCTCAAACTATTCAACGCTGTAATCAAGTTGGTGGCACTGTCAAGTGTCCCTGTCTCGTTATTTAAAATCTGTGGCACACGATTGTGTAGTGGATAGAGGCAGTATGTACTGGACTCCTTTTCCAAGAGGGGTCTCTGAAAGACAAATCAAGAAGAGGTGCATGAGACTTGTGTGCCGGGGAGAGGCAGCACGTTATAGAAAAGGTGAGTTGTTCAAAACCAGCCGAGCTGCATGGGCTCAGAAAGGCTTTTCATCCCACCCCCTTGGAGGTTCATCATTGATCTGAGCTGCTGGCGATGTTCCTGCTGTACTCAGCATGAAGCGCATGGTGGTACCTGCACTTCCAGACACAAAGCCACCTACCACTGGAGTGATTAAATAAGTTAATTTCTTAAATTACTTCACTGTAAGACTGAATGCTGCATCAGGCCTGTCAGTAATAGGGAGTCAGTGCTAAAGAAAAGAAGGATGACAACCAGGTTTCCAGTTGTAGTCAAGCCATATTATGTCCCTGCAAGTGTCTATGGAGCTGACTTGCTCGCTGCATGCCATGGTGGAAGGATCCAGTTTAATGTGTTTAGTGTTTCGTAGCGGCAACAACTCCTTGAGTTGCAGAATCTCTGTGGTTCTCAACTAGTCTCGAGACTTTGCAGTGCATCTTTCCATACTGGGGACCTAAAGGGTTGGTAGCTTATTTTTAATTGCATTTTGTTGTTTTTACAGTTATATTTTGTATTAGTACTTTCATAACCTTAGAAACTAAAAGAGTTCCAGTTTGACCTTTAGTGCAAGACAATCTCAAGACTTTGGTGCTGTTGTGTGTACATTGATTCTGGTTAGCGCTGAAATCTTTGCTCAGTGTAATCTCTTGTTTACCCCAGCAGGACTGCACTTAAGGAAGAGCTACAGTTACTGCCCCAGAATACATAAGTGAAGTTTAATAACAGGAATTTTGCCTGTCAATCCCTAATAACCCTGATCAGTAGTACACAGGTGAGGTGGCAGCAGTTAGCTCTCTGATAAATGTTCCCAGGGATTTGACTTTATCTCTGCAGGATCAGCCCCGCTCCCAAGGCAAGATATTCCTGATGGTAAATGGTGTTTATTGAGATCAATAGAAACTATAGATTTAAACATCTTCACAGCTTTCTTGACAATTAAGTACTAAGAAACTGGTCTGAACCTTGAAAGATATGTCTGCAGCTGATTTTCTCTCTTGGATGAGTAGGGCTCTGTGGACTCTTTGAAAATACATAAGCAATGATGCTGACAGCCAGTCATCAGAGCAGGCATTTTGCTTTGCTCTCTTTGAGGTGGACTTTATCAGTTCCAGACAAACAAAAACATATCCTTTGGTGCTAAGTGATTGACTCATTTTTACTTAGAAGCATTATTCAAGCTTCTGCCTCTCACTTTGGCTCGTAGCTGTGTAAGTCACTCTCCCTAGTCTGGCATTCATTAGTTTGTTTTCCCTGCTCTACAGGTGATTTTAAGCAGATGCTTTTCTGCGTGTGCAGGTTATTTTGTGTCTTATTTTCAAGCATGCATGTTTTGCAAGAGATCCAAGTGGATAATATATGTAGGAAATATGGTATATCTGTCCTCTCCAACCCTGAACTTGTTATTCACAAGAGAAAGTCTTCAGCATCTTAAGTGTCTGCATTCCAGTTGGGCCTGCTGCCATGTATGTAAAGTGTAGTCCCTCCAAGATAGTAGAGATCCACATCTTCATTTGAATTTCCATGGAAAGTAATAGAGCAAAACTGTGTCCCTTGTCTATTAACCATGCAGACAGCAAAGGAAATACAGAATCTGACTGAAAAATAAATTGCTTTCTTTATAAATGTCCTCTTTTTATTTTTTCTTGCTATAAGCTTTCTGTGGCATGAGAACCTCTTCTGATATAATTAAGTCAGTCTAAATTGCTAGATATTCTTAGATCTGACCCTGTGGGAGGAAGTGTGGAGAGTGATTCCCTGATGCCTAGAAGTAGGAGGCTTGCAGAGAAGAACTACTTTCTTTAACCCCACATCTTTCTTTCCAGACTATTTTGATCAAATTGCTATGGCTTAGGAAACAGCTAAGAGCTGCTTTTGTGTTTCAGGCCCCATATGTGCTCAGAAATGAGGCCCTCCTTGTCAGCAGAGGGGAGACTGGAACTCTAACAGACGTGTTGCTGGGTATGAGGGACGGTGACAACCCTCAAGATGTCGTGCTAATGGTTTTAGAGCCCCCGCGTCACGGGCAGCTGGTGAAACGCTCCGGGGACTCGGCTGCTGCAGTCCACATGTTCCACCTCGATGACCTGGCCCGGGGACTCCTGCGTTACGCTCACGATGGCTCGGACAGTCGGGATGACACGGTGCTTCTGCAGGTGAACGACGGGTACCACTTCCAGAACATCCTGTTCCACATTAAGATCACTCCCAAGGTATGTGCTATAACCTAAATTCTCTCAGGCAAATGAAGGGTGGAGGTTTGCAGGACTGTATCCCCGAGATGTTGCACATCCTGCCTTAGTGACAGGCCCTGGCCAGAGAGAGTGGAAAGTGGTGGATTGGTGGAGGTTTGCAGATCACCTGAGTTTCTGGGTTGCAACAGGAACGGTTCAGCTTGGATTGTGCAGGCTTCAAAATTCAAGGGATGCAGTTACTTGATGCACGGTTCTCTGGGAGGTACAGATGAGAGTTTGGTTGCCTGGAAAGGGCAAGGAATTTGAAAAAGAGTAGCTTGGGGACAGAGAAGGCTGGAGAGGTAATAAAACTCACCACTGGGTTGGTGCGAATATGATATGGGAGGCAGATGCTCACTAAAGTTCTTGCATCTGAATGCAAACAGGGAATTCGGTTGGTAATTTACAGCACTGAGGTTCTAGAGCAGATTTTAGATAAGCAACAGTATTTGAACTGCTCAAGCAGGTGGATATGTTTGTGAAATGGGTCCATTTCAGTCTGGATTTGAAATGAGCATTGGCACTGACTTCACGGATGGCAGTCAGACTGCTCAGTGAAATGAGGTCAGGAGAAAGGCAAGGCAAGGAAACCCCTGTGGAAAAAAAGAAGTTCCTCTGTGTGAGGATGTAACCCCCCAGATGAGGATGCTGGAGCTGCTGTGTGAGGGGAGATGGGTTCACATGAAGGTCAGACAGGTTGGTTTGGTATTGTAATAAAATTGGCAGAAAATCTGAGAATTTGCTTATCTCTTGGTGAACGTGAAGGAAGTATAAGAAAAAAAAATACAGCTACCACAGAAATTGTCCACTACTGGGACAGGAGGAGGTGGTACTACCTATCTTCTGTCTTCTTTTCTGCTATACTGGAGGCCTGTCCTAGCTCCTTGGGCCTGGGAATTTTAAGGAGGGCTCACAAGCACTGTGTGTCTGTATGTAGCTAGCACACAGAGGGGCCATTTCGTTTGGACCCTGTGGGGCGCTTGAAACAAGGGTAGTAATTAATGGTAATTAGTGGCATGACTCACCCCTCGGTCTGGAATCAGAAGGGCTTGCTTAGAAGGCTGGCTCGGAATTACTCAGACTCCTGGAATAGGCCGCCCTGCCTGCAGTTTCCTTACCCACACACAGCGCTTTCATGGAGCCTGAATGAGATCAGCACTGTGAAGTGCTTGGAAACCACTCGGCTGTAGCACTTGTGGGGGTTTTCTTTCTTTCTTTTCTTTCCGCTATTGATTAGGCAGCAGCTTATTGTAAATGCCAGTGAGGGTGAATTGCTGAGTACAGTCTCTTACAGTAGCCAATTTGGTACTCTCTTGTCTCCTATTATCCTCCCAAGTGTCTGGGTGCAGCACTCAGCTCTGGAGAAGAATGCGGGCGGTGACAGAGGCCAGCGCGGAGCTGGCAGCCCCCCAGCTCCCGCCTCATCCCTGTTGCCCGCTTTGTGCTCTCGCCGTGGCAGATGAAGGGCCTGCAGAGCTTGTTTCTCAAAAGGTGCTGGTGAAGCACACTTGCAAAGGCATGATTTTTTCAGCCGAAGACCTAGAGGTGTGGAGGTTTGGGGTTTGCTTTCTAAACCCAGGTTAAGTACATGGAACTTTTACATCCGAATGGTTTTACATAGTACGGACCAGTGTGAAAAGACATTTCTAGGATTCCTTTCTTACTGGGCTGAGAGAATATCATTTTAAGGCATTAGTCCATAGAAGCGATGCAGTGTGAGTACAAAACCATAAAAGAAGGGAGAACATAACCTTTCAAGTGGTATGGATGAGAGGGATTTGTTTACTTGTGATGGATGTGCCTTGCTTTCTGCAAGGTGTTTTTTTAGGTCCCTTGGGCTGCTGACAACATGATTTTCCGCATTTGCCCCTGTCCAAATGCTTCATTTGATACACTGCAGCTGAACAGCTGGCCTCTATTTTGGGAGCCCTTAATAGTGTTTTGCACTGCCGTATACTTCTGTTGATGTTCCCTGCAATTACAGTTTCTGTGAAGTTAATCTGCGACCTGCCGCTGCTGCTTTTTTGGTGGAAAACTTGCTTTCCCACCAGTGGTGCTCCAGCGAGGAAGAGCGAGCCCATGTCCTGGAAAACATGGTCCCGGGTGCCAGTACAAGCGAGGGGAGGTCAGGCCTACTCCCATGCTATGTGTCCCTTGCTAATGGCAGCATCATCAGCAGTGTGAGGAGCTGAGCGCAGGAGGAGGGCTGCTCCGGGACGCTCCTTTGGAAGGTTTCTGGGATAGCACGAGGCAGCGAGTCTTGCCCCGTGTGGGAGCAGGTAGCTGAAGCGCTGAGCAGAGGGGTGCAGTAACCTCCGGGCACTCCGAAAACACCTTTCCCGAGTAATTAAATCCTTCACGTCTGCCGACTGTGCACTCAGGCTCCAGTGTAAGAATTTAATGCTGAACACTGGGTGAGTGTTTAGATCAGGCAAGAACCTGTGTGTGCAAAAGGATCACCAAGCAAAAAGAGCTGTCTCACGAGTGCCTTTGTATTAATCAGTGCGAGCGCAGCATCAGCACGGGTGGAAGCACTATTAGAAAATGCCAGACTTGTTTAATGTGGCCAGTGAAGAAACATTTAATCATTTCGTTACTGAAAAGCAGAGGGGAGCCGTGTTTATAGAAAAACTGCGGCCTTGTGTTTAATTAAAATTTATTTAGAAATAGTTTATTTGGAAACAGTGTGACTTTGCCTGTCATTCTGAAGTATGGTGAGTCCCTTCCTTCCTTCCTCACCCAGTAAATCCAGGGACCACTCTGACCTTTCCAGGTCGCTCGTCTCTTGTTGCAGAATTCCATGTTTCTCTTAAGGACCCATCTGTGTGTTGCTGTGATCTAATCAAAAAGGTCAGAGGACAGTTATTCCGTGTATTGACAGGGCTCTTTTGGATGCAGCTAGGTCTGGTTTCCTTCTTTATAACCCTTTATTTTTTAAAAGCAAGCATTGTGCTGATAAACTGTTGACTTGGCCCAACCTAAGCCTGGCTGGCATTTAAAGGTTAGCACTGTTCCGAATCGGTGCGGATTGTATGAAACGGATGAAAACTGGCTAGCCAAAGTCTCAAAGTGGAGAGAGGAACTCGTCCTTTAATGTGTTCCTTTCTCTGAAGTGCTCTCAGTGTCTCTTTTACAGGTTTGGAAGAAAAGTAATGAGTTGCTCATCAGTTCCTGGGGTGACATATCACTGCTGGGGTAGTAGATGAGGAGGAAGGTGATCTCTTTTATGGAGCAGTTAGGATTCTGACAAGTGAGGTGTGTGTGAAGATACCGGAGGTGTCATTTGTCTGTTCTTTTGAATAGGTGCGAAGCCTGTTGCTTTACAAGTACGCTTGAAAGGTGTGTATTTTTAGAAATAAAATGGAAGGATAAGAGAATTCAAAGTCTTGGTGGACAAGGTCAATTCTACAGAGGGAGAGTTAATTCCTGGGGATAGAGGTTAAAGATTAAGGTGCTCTTCTTGGAACAGACTGCCAGGGCCGAATGCATAAGGAATTCCCAAGTCCTCCGCCTCATCCTTTTCCCTTCACCACGTTTCCAGCGGCACGGCAGAGCCGACGTTGAGCTAAGCCCTTTCCTGCCATTCCCCCCACACGCAGAGTGCCGGACGCCCTCGGCTGGTGACCAACTCGCTGGTGTGGGTGCCCCGGGGCGGCATGCTCCAGATCTCCAAGAGGATTCTGCAGGCCGAGATTCCCGGCGCCCGCGACTCCGAGATCATCTACAGCATCGGCAGCGACCAGCCGAGACACGGTAACTTCCTCTAGAGTTTTACTGTCAAAAAAGAGCTGTAGTTTGTTGCTTTCTCTCCCACACATCCCCGAGTCTCCCACCACTAAGTAAGGTGGATTCTTCTTCTGGGCAAGAAGATGTCCAGACATACTGGACTGTGATCCTCTTGTATCCTCTTGTGATCCTCCCGCTGTTTTATTTGCAAGCAGCAGCATTTTTTCCATAGGATACTATACTGAATAAGTGAATAAATATTTGGTTTCAGAACAGCACAGAGTAACGTCTTTCTCTGGAAACTACTGAGCAAATTTGCCTTAAGCAATTGAAGAACTTTCCAAACTCCTTCACATTTGATTTTTATAATGGAAGATGTTATTGATTCAAAAAGAATTGAGTGAGATTTGCATTCATCTATAATTGTCATCTCCAAACTCCTGCTGGGAGGCCCCAATCTCATATTTCAGGGTAACTGCGTTCACAAGTTGGCAACTGCTTTTCCCGTCCTGTAGAACTGCAGCTTTCAGAATATCCTCTGGAACCAGGCCAAGAAGGGTGGGAGGGAATGGCATTTGTGAGCGAGATAGAAATTCAGAGAGCTGGGTGGAAAAGAGGAGGTGTTTTATGTGGGGGGCGGAAAGGAGCCCTGAGCAGAACAGAAAAATGATATTTTCCTCATCAGAATTATCATTTTCTTCACTAGGATCATGTCTATAAATAACATGGTTGGAAATTGCATGAAACGGTATCACTGCTACTAATTTGCTGATACCAATAAAGTTATTGAGTAACTTTAACAACACCAGCTGTGTGCTTTTAACTTTTGCTGTAAGGATAGGCTTGTTTCCATAACAGCTGCCAGTATTTGATGGAAACACAGATTACGTTATTCTTGCAATTTACAAGTAATTAATTCGTATTCCCCCTTTAGTTCTCCGCAGATGAAGGACGATCTTCTCATTTTTAATAAGCATTTAAGTGAAAACAAGAATTTTCCTCTGAGGAGTGTGTCTCCTGCCGCCTTACTCTAAGCAAAACCTAAAATTTTATGCTTGTATCGTCATAATTATCTCTTCTGCAATTAATTGCAGTAACACGAACAGGTTTATAGCTCCAGGTGAGAAAAAAGCAACAAGAATCAATAATCTTCAAAGTTTCATGTAAAATACTATTTCGCAGAGCGGAAAAAATCAAGACAGAGAAATGTAGAAAATGGATCCTTAATGAAGGAAGGTTTATCTGCCCATCTTATTATGTGACTCATGGAAAAGATATTTGTACCTGTAGAATCATTGGATTTTAGATAAGAAATAAACCCATTTCAGAACCAGCTACTACATTTCTGGAACAAAAGTGCGTAGACTGTGAATGCTTCTTGTCCTTTATTTCAAGACCTTGCAGCCAAATGAAAGGGCTCTAATGGCTCAGAGGGGAGCAGGGAAGACCTCCATCTTCCCAGATTTTTCTCTTCTACAGGGTTGATTTGCCTTTGTGCTGCAGGTACCAGGGAGCAGTGACTCTTCCTCATGACCTCTCTTTGGTGAGGCTCTTGTCTTGTTGCTAGAGATAGGATCACTGTCCTCTCTGGCTCTCCTCTCGGCATGTAGGATGCCCCAGGATTATTACAAGTTTATATATGAGTAGCTGTTGTTATACCCTGAGCTCTTCCACATGGCATGTGTTCTTGGAGGATGAAGTCTCTAAAGCCGATTAAAAATGGTACAAGTGCCCAGTCTCTTTAAAAAGAATGGGGCAACGGTGCCCAAGTCCTCTAGACAGCTCTGGAAATGGCAGCTGCATAATCTCCATGTATTGCAGGCATAAACTGCCTGTGTGTACACTTATGTTCATGTGTGTAATGCATCAATAGGTGCTATACTGTGTTTTTTTGTTTGTTTGCTGTAGATGAAATGGTCATTATAAATTAAACATCACAGAGTTGTTATGATCAAGTTAAATATTTATTTATGACAAGGCACATGGACATGCATCTTCCTTAAAGCTCCTGTATGTTCTAACTGCTTGTGTTCTTACTTTGGGAGGGGTAAACAACTTGCAGGTCCCCATCCCTTTGGGTACATGAGAACATTTCTAGAAAATGCTCAAAGATTAAGGTGGTGAACTCTCTTGAGCAGAAGCATCAGATTGGGAATATAATTAGGGTGGTGGGTTTCACTGATAAGGGAATATTAGCCCAGGGTTGGATGATCAAGAGGAAATATGTATTTCAGCTTACTGAATTACTTTTTTTATTACTCTCACTGTTCAAGTGTAGTTTTGGGAAATGAGCTGAGAGAGCTTATGATGGGTATTTTGCATAATAGAATGATTAATGCTGTAAGGAGAGTGGAAGTGATTTATAATATATGTGCTTCTGAATTGGTAGCCATGAGGGATACTTTCAAAGTCTGCTAGAGGCTGGATATGCGCAACTAACTCAAGTTATTTAGATAGTGGTTAAATTATATATAACCAAGAAGAGTAAAGATGGAGATTTCTATTCTTTTCACAGAATATATGTTAACTCCCAAGCAAGCAAATAATATTGTAAAATACAGAAGTATGTCATATGTTTTGATAGTATAGTTCCGTCAAGTTAATTTTGTTCATGTGTGTGGTTTGGGAAAATATTTGCATTGTGTTTGACTTAATGAAATTGCTGACCTGGATTTTGATTTCCTTCCCATGGTGGGTAGCTCTTGACTTTTTGAGTGTTGAACCCAGCTGTTCTCCAGCATAAGGCCAACGAAGGCCATGACAGCTCAGTCTAGCTGAGAATGAATTCCTCATAGAAAATCAGAAATAAGCTGAATGTTACAGGTATAAAAGCTATATATTCTTCTGGGCAGGAGCTATAAACCAGGGCACACAGACTTTTTCAACAGCCTATGTGATATCTATTCAAGAGCTCTTCTTCAATGAAAGGTTTCTGTTTAGAGAAATTGGATGAGAAAACTTGTGAGGATAAAAAGCACCCAGAGAGCTGGGAAAAACTGTCCTCAAAAAAAATGAGCCTGTTGTGTCCTGATACTTAAGCTATACCCTTGCAGGAAAGGAGGATAGTCTGCTGCAGGGATTTGTCACTGTTTCTGTCTGTCTTCTCTCTTGCCTTCTCAGAAGGGCTTGTGCAAGCGAGAAGTGTCCTTTACTTTTCTTTTTCTGTGCCGTTTAGTGCATGGGTATATCTCAGGGTTGACGTGTGCTGGTCAGTGGGTACAACTCTGTTTTGAGAGTCTGAAGCTCCCAGTTCTGTTCTTGGCACTCCTCCGAGCAGTTCTCTGGGCTTTTCTTCTGGCTCCGCACCCAGGCTACTAGCTCTGCCCTTGGCCCAAACAGAGAATAGTGTTTCCCAGCTTCACTGGGATATTGCAAGGTCCTGTGTGACTCTTAGGAGCTCTAACTGTTACTACCTCTAGTCGTGCTGTACACAAGGCTAAGAGCAACTGAGGACGCTTGTCTTCAGATGTTCAGTAGTTGGTGAAAAGGCATCCTGCTGCGCCTCGGTTGCTCACTCTGGCTCTTCATCTCTGCTTCTCCCAGGTGAAGTAGTGCTGCTGGTCCCAATGCCTGCAGACAGCCCAGCAGGCGCGTGGCAGCTTTTGCCCGATGGAAGAGCAGTTTCTCCTACAACATCTTTTACCCAGCAGGACATCAATGAAGGCACTGTGTGGTACAGGCACTCTGGGTCCCACGTGGAGAGCGACTCCTTCCAGTTCCAGGTACCTGTGGGCATATTTTGTTGCCATAAATACTCTGTTGCCTTCGTACTCTGGACAGAAATTTGACGTGTTGGTTCTGCATGGAAAATACATCATCCTCTCCTAAAACCTTAGTGTGTGCTCCAAGTGCAAAGTGTTCTGAGGTTTTTTTTTTTCTTAATTATATGGGTATTGTAAGCCACAAAAACAAGCAGCTTTCGTACTTCTGGAGTCCCTCACCTAATACCTTAATTTTTGTTCCAGGCTGCTCTCCTCCTTGCAAACAGACATAATGGTACAAATACTCTCCAGCAGATGTAATACCAAAATAAATCCCACCTCCCCACAGGCTTAATGACCATAAAATTTCTCAGGCAGGTCCTTGCTGTTTGCTTGGAAGGTTTAACAGCCTCCCATAACGCTCAGCCAACATGAACACTCGCTTGCAGTATTTGTTACAGTTTGGTTTACAGCTCAGAAGCTATTCCTGTAGCAGCAGAGAGGCAATTAAGGTAATTTCTAAAGTAATTAACATAAGTGATAATGAGGAAGTTGTGAGTGTCAGATGTTGAACAAGCTAATTTTTAATTTAATTGCTGTGTTACTGTTATAGAGAATGCATTTTGTATGACTTGAATGTTTGTTTTTAGTGTCTTGGTGCAGTAGCAATAACTATATGGAGAGCCCTAGTGAGAGACCATGATTACACAGGTCACATCAGGAGACCGTAACACTCTGAGTCTTGCATAGTGCATTAGGGCATCTCAGGAAAGGCTGACACATTTTTATCAGTACTTTGGCAATTACCAAAGTCTGATTACCATCAGACCAATGGTCTGATTACCATTCTGACAGCAACTCAAAACAGGTCCAGCAATTGCCTAAAATATTTTATTCAATTAAGCAGAGCAATTTTATGCAGTTTCTTAAAATTTCTGCAAGCCATTCTTGCTCATGAAGGTCTTAAGTTCTGTTGTAGTCAATGGTGGATGTACATACTTACCAAAGATCCGTCTGTAACTGAGTCTAGCACAGAGGGGCTCCAGTTCGTTGGACTTATCTCAGGGTTGCTTTCCTTGCTTTGGGGTTGCTTTTATTTGCTTGGTTTTAGGGTTGCTTTTTGCTTTCGCATTTGCTTGGTTTTTGGGGTTGCTTTTATTTGCTTGGTTTGCAGGATTGCTTTTATTTACTTTCCATGTCATTATTGTGAGCGTGCTATGAGGAACTAGCTATAGCTGGATTGATTTTGGTGTTAAAGTGGTGCCTGCAGCCTGCATGGGTCTCTTGTGTCAAACCCAAGCGCAGCCTCTCTTGGAAGATGGGTCTTTGTGGGCATCACAGGGAGTCACTGCCAGGGGTTGGTGCTGCCCTTGACCAGTGAGTTTCAGATTTGTAGACCAACTGGTGGTCATTTTGAGAGTGGAAGGAAGGTTTAAACCCCATTATCATTTCTGTTCCTATGCTGAGGAGGTGCCTACCTAGGAACAGAGGAGAGGGGGAGTGTGAAAGTGCTCTAGAAATGCAGTAGCATCCTTGGTCAGGTGCCCACTGGCGTGGTCTTTCTTTCCCAGGTGTCCAGCTCCACAGGTCCGCCTGGCGGCGCAGAAAGCCACGTGTTCAACGTCGCCATCCTCCCGCGGAGCCCCCGGGCACCTCGGCTTTCACTCGGCTCCTCTTTGCACATGGCTGTAAGTGTGAACTGAAGCGACCCGCTGCCCTTTGCTGTGTTCCTGCTGTCGCGTTAGCGCACAACGAGCAGAGCCTCCCGCAGAGCAGAAATAACTGCTAAATATCCACTGCTTTACTCCCTATTGTCCATGTTGTTATGCCTCACTCAGAGATGGAATGAAATCCAAAGAATACCCACTATTAGGTGGGTAACTGGAGTAGAAAACAAATCTAAATGAAAGAAGGAAAAAAAGCCTATACAGGTTAGAAGAGGCTTTTTTAAAAGGAAAAAAAAGAAAACCCCCCACAAAATAGAAAAGTTGAGGACTCAATATTAGTAGAAGTGATGAACGTGTAAATTGTAAGGGAGAAGGGGAGAGAGAGAGAAAAAAAAATAACATCTTTTCATGGAATTCTTAGCATTTTGAAACACACTTTGAGAAGTTATTGCGAAGGGCAAGAGTGAAAAATGGTGGGTTATAGAGAAACTGTAATGAATAGATCTTGTCAGTAATTCCACTGCAAACTGTATTTATCGGAATTGTAGCCCACCCACATCAGAAAGTCTCCATCCATCATCGTGACATCAGGAACACAGATTATAACATTTCTGGAAAACGTTCAGACAAGCCCATTATATCTGCGTCCATGGAGCTGGATTACTTTTCTTTGAAGCATCAGCTTTGGCAACAACCATTTTGTTAGCACAGTGTTGTCTCCGTTGTGTTTTTTTCCTTGATAGTTTCCATTTAAAAGGTGACCTCCAAATTCAAAGTTGATTTTGTGAGCTCTTACTTAGGTGCATGTCTCCCCAGTGCCCCAAGTAGGGGGTGGTCGTGAAGTCCCACTCTCCCCCTTCCTTTTCCTAGCCTCCTCTTTTCTTCAGTTCTGCCAGGAGGGAACACAAGTGTGTAGGCTGGAGAGGAGCTGTGGGCCTCTGCACCCAGGTTGCCCTATTGGATTGCTCAGAGAACCAGGCTAAAAGTTGTTTTAGGCATCAGCTCAGCCCAGGTATTTCCAGAGGAGGGCCAGGAACGTAACCCACTGCACAGAGGTCTCACTCAGTGGATGAGAGTGAGCCAGGACACACTGTGAGAGTAAAGCATTGGGCAGCACTTTTGAGAAATGTGAAATCAGCTGAGGGCAGCTCTTTGGGTAGGATCTGGGAGAGCTGCGTCTGCAAGCTTGGAGGTAGCGTGCAGCCATCTTTGGCACCGTTTGTCCCTAGTGATTTATTTAGGACACGCCAGCGTGGTCAAACAGACAGCCCGTGCCCTTGGGCGCTCCACACAGACAGAAGTGCTCTGGGAGGCCCGTGCAGGAGAGCAGCCGGGGCCGACCTCCCTGGGCAGCCGGGCCTCTTCTCAGGAGAGGCGTTGGACTCGCAGCCAGCAAGGCCTGGCGGGCATAGGGCCAGGGAGGGCTGAAGGAAGCTGTGGGAGAGAAATTAGTGAAAAGTCCATGACACAAGGGCCTTGTCAAGGTTTAAAATAGGGGCAACCTTTCATAGGCAATAGTAAAACACCCTCAGACTGCTACTTGGAGCGATAGCCAGTGATGTTTCTTTCTCTTTTTGACTTTTTGTTGTTGTCACTTGACAAAATTAATGGGAGAGGTGTCTGGCTGAGCCATGCAGTGCTGGATTTTATAGCCAATTACACAGCACTGAATTCAATAGTGCTATAAAACATGTTTTACTGAGGGGATGGCTCACAACCTGCAAGTGCTACCTCTGAGAGAGACAAATATGCCTTGGAGACAACTAGGAAGCAATCATAACCCTAAATCTTTTCATCATAAAATTGCACTTCCTTGCATGAGTGTGATTGAATTCTGTTAATCTGTCTTGAGGCTCTTGCAGAGTCAGGCTGCCTTCCCTGCTGAAGAGCAAGCACAAGACATTAGGTCTTCCCATACCTAAAGTCTTGTCTTCGCATTTCCTGCAGAGAAGGGTCAAAGAAAGTGCAGTGCCACTTGGATGGTTAAACTGGGCATCTCTAGTGTTTCCTTCTTCAGTAATGCATCAGGCTACCTGCCTCCCCCATGCTGATGGCATTAGTGATAGGAGAGTGAGCTTCTCTCTAGCTGAATGCACACAGAGATGGGCTTCGTGAAGGAGAGGGGCAATTCTGCAAGTCCTCCATAGTGTTCCCAGGTTGGCTATATGAATAAGACACTGCTGTTAATTTTGTGCTTACCCTCTTTAGACAGGGCTGTCTATAGCAATTCCAATATCACAATGAAACTTGGGGCTTTCGACTCTGGTTAGTTATGGGACACTTCCTCATCTAAGAAGGATTGACAGGGTCTTGTTTACTGCATTACAAGAGTCACTCACAAGCTGTGTTGTCTCACGCATTTGAGTGAAAACCGAAGAGAGGCAGTTGAGCTGGCACTGCTTTCAGAGTCCATCTGGGGAACTGGGGGCATCTGTGAGGGACTGAGCTGCTCTGTCAGGACCTTCTGCCTTGCTACAGTGTCCAGGCCAAGAGTTGCTGCTCTGGCACATGAGGCCAGCAGAATGGGGTGCAGGTTGGTGGGGTGGCATCACAGTCCTGCCCGCTCGGTGTTCGCTGCGCTGTGCAAGATGTGGGAGGTGGAAAACTGTAATTTGTTTTGGAGCTGTTGCAGATGATCATCTCATGTTCCGAAGCAGATGAATTAATTGCCCGTATCCTTAATTTAGCTTGTACTCCTCCCTATTTGGTTAGTGATTATGGAATGAGCTGGAGGCTTTTCATACCCAGCTGAAATATTAAACTTGGTGGTTTCTCATACCTGTTATTCGGCAGGATTAAGGTTCACAAATGTGTGCTAGTTAAATATCTTTGTGCATTTAAGTCTGTTGGTGCAGCACCATAACTTCTGGAATGGAAGGAACAGGACATTTTTTGACAGATTTAAAACCAAGAAAAAGCTCAAGTTCATCTGCATTTCTATAGAAATGGCTGAGATATTTTCAGGATTTCTTTTAAAAGCAAATCCATTTAGGGCACATCAAATTGACCAGTAATCTATCTTCATTCTGTGGGTTTTTAATCAAAGTAGAGAGGAGGAGATGGTTGTCTCTTTTTTCATAGGTTGAAGATTATTCTTCCAGAAGAAAGGCTTAATAGAGGTGGTCCTCTATAGCAGTGTCTCCTGTTGAGTATGACAGTACTCATCTTACAAACTCAATTTGGTTTACAGATGAGCTAAAAGTTAGTTCAAATGGTCCCTAATACTTGCACTGGCTCTGTAGCAAATTCCACTTGTTTATCAAGCTTCGCTGTCCTCTCTGCTCTCAATAAAGGACATCCCTGTGGAGTCCCTGCAGGAGTCTGAGAGCCTTGCCAAAAGTTCAGTCACTCTCATCCCATGTCGATTTTAGGTGTAAAACAATAATAATTCAAAGACTCTCTTGTACTTAAGTATAGCAAAAGTATTTCTCTCTCAATGCATTTCTGGGTGGACCTTCCTGTGTCTTTGGCTTTCATGCTCATGGTGTAATATGTTTGTTGAGGTGCTGGAGGACCGCGTGACAGTGATTGAGCCCCATCACCTCTCCTTTGTAGACCCGGAGATTCCCAGTGAGAAAATCCTGTTCAACGTGACTGTTCCGCTGCTTCCCGGCCAAGGCAAGTGAAGCAATCAGAAGAAGGCAGCTTGCTATTGCTGCAAAATGTCACTTCAGTGCTGACACTTGCAACCTTCTGAATTTATTGCTGTGCCTCTAGCTTTTTTTCCCAGAATGTGATTCTGTGTTGGCATCTGTTAATCTGTTCAGACTTCTTCATTTAGCTTTCAAGCAACTTGTTTCTTAACTGGGATTCTTAGGCTTGCTTAGGAGTGACCAGCAGCACACAGACTGTTATTATTGTCTAGAATATATTGGATGTTGCATCCTATGGCTTTCTGTTTTCACCTCTATAGTGAGAGGTATTTGAAGAAATTACTAAGTGAAGAACCCCTGTTTGGTTTCTGATGCCCTATATTCAGAATCTTGCATACAGATTCCTCCTGTTAATATTGAGCTCTTTGTAGGTATTGTGGAGCACAGAGACAGGCCCCTCTCCCCAGCCCGGTATTTCAGCCAGGCAGACGTCAACAACGGCAAGATCGTGTATCGTCCGCCGGCGTCGGCCCCGCACTTGAGAGAGATGATGGCCTTCTCCTTTGCAGGTAAGAAGCCAGACATCCATTCAAGCATCCCTCAGAGCGGTGGAGGTAGCCGGAGGGCTGGTCCTTCTCAAATGGAGACCGACTTCACGGTTATGTTCAGACATACCAAGGCACGAGGTCTGATTGGTACAAAGGACGTGGGAATCTGTCGTGTTCTTATTCAAAGTCAAGAAGAGTCTTGGCTATTTCAGGACTAGACCACTTAAGGCTCTCTTTACCATTTCCAGGAGTATAATTCACAATTTCTCAGGAAAACATTTTCTCTGTTTCCTGATGATGGTTCAGTCTGTTGGGGAGGAGAACAGGAGGAAGCCGTCTGTTTCCCTCTTCCCTCGTCCCACATTGTTTTGCCTCTCTCTCTGTTTGGGGAGGTGGTTACAGTGTGTGGGGGAGTATTGCAAGAGCTCACCACTGCTTGTGGTGACTGCAGCTGGACACAAGAGCCACATTCAGTGAGTTACGAGGATATGACAGCGTCGGCTGCAACATTTAGCATTACCCACATTGGTACCTCTACAGTTAGGAACTGCTCATCAATGTGTGCTTTCTGGTCCTAACTTCATTGACAAAAATTGCTTGCGTTTTCCCTGCAGGTCTCCCAGAGTCAGTCAGCTTCCGATTCACAGGTATGAGTCCCACGTTTTCTGGCCAAAAGGGTTTTCTTCCCTGTGCCCTTCTCATTGCCTGTTACTCCTTGGTCTTTTGGCCGCTGCAGGCACACCTATCGGTGCCAGTAGGAATATGAATGTGCCCTGGGAAATATTCATGTGGTTGTGTCCCAAAGGTGTTTATAGGAGCTAGGATATAGCTCAGTAGAAAGATTTTTTCTAGTAGCTGTCTGGAATATGTCGTACAAGGCTAGTTCATTCCTGTTTTCCCTCAATGTGTAGATGTATTTCAGAGGTTTTTTTTTTTTTTTTTTTTTCTTTTTCCCTCGATATAGCATGGAAATATTTCCACAGTTAGATCACTACAGATAAACTATTTCCTTGTTTAACATATCTTGCCCTTTTCATGTACTGTCTTGGACAGAAATACAAGTGATCCATTAGCATGTAGAAGGCAATTTTCTAACTTACAAGTGCACATGATAGCTGTATAGGAGATAGTATGTATGTGTGCACACATGCAGATTCCTCTAAGTTGTGCTTGTTTTACAAAACTTAAGTACTGTTGGCAGGATTTTTGAAGTGCATGTATGGGTCCATAGACACAGGGGTAGACTGGCACAGTGGGAAGTCACTGATACGGCGCTGTGATTTGTGGAGAAGCTTTATTTCCCAGACAAGTCCCTGAAAACACATCCCTCCACTCAGATGTGTCTTTTTTTGTCTGTATCCAGTGTCTGATGGAGAACACACAACTCCGGAGATGGTGTTTGTCATTCATTTGCTTTCTGCGGAGCAGCAGCCTCCCATCTTCCAGATCCCTGCTCCCTTCCTGGAGGTCGGCCAGGGAGGGAGAGCTGCCATCGGTGGGTAGAGCAGGAGGGATGGGGTGGCAGAGCTCTGCCTGGCCTTGGTTTTCACTGCCACAAGGCCATCTGGGTGGAGCTGGGGAGACTTCTGGGCTCACTCACCTCTGTTCAGCTAAGGAGCTGTGCTTGTGTGGGTACAGCGGCCCCTCAGCTGGACTGTGTGCGAGGAACAGGGTTTGTCACCTCTTCCTCACGTTACCTTCCTCATTTACTTCATGAGTTGGGAGGCAAAAATCGGAGCTGCTGGTTAGTGATAAGATCTGTTGCACTGGGTTGGTTAAGATAACTTTCTGGTGATGTCAGAAGGTTCTTTGGGGTTCTTAGAGATACTCCCCTGCTATATGCACACTCACTGAGTCTCTTTCATAAGCTCCACGTTTACATTAATGTTGCTCATGAGCCGTATTGACAGTAGGTTCTGTAATACAACCTCTCACCTAAGCATCGTTTAATGATTTCTGTGAAGGCAGCATCAGAATTATTGACCCTTCGGGTACTGACTGAATTCAGCTTTTTGGCTCCATTCACAAGAGCACATCACACACCTCACCAAACTGAAGAGAGATCTCCTACCTGAGAGTATGTGGTGTCTAAGGATGCTGACGCTGGTGCTCTTTCCCCGGCACAGGGATCCAGTTGGCAGTGAGCGACACAGACACAGCTCCCGAGGGGCTCTTCTTTGAGCTGGTGGAAGCTCCCCGCCACGGCGTCGTGCTCAAGCTTGGTGCAGGAGTGCAGGAGCGCGTGAGAGCAGGTGAGCTGAGCAGAAGTCTTCTTGCAGGTGGAGAGGGGGTCAGCGGGTGCCTGACCGCAGTTCAGCCGACCAGCAGGAAACAGAGGCCTGAACATGTGTGACTGTAGCATGGGGAGCACCGAAGATGTTTCCCCTTTGCTTTATTGACTAATTCCTGGCTGAGTCAGTGCCTTTTGGTGCCAGGTTACATGTGGGCTGGTTCACCCAGGATAACTGTAGCCAGGCATTAGTCATAAGGGATGTTTTGTTTTAACTGGAAAGTTAAATCTGGTGTAATACTCGGCACACGTTTTTCCTGAAGTCCATGTCCACGTAAACCTGGTGTGAGCCAGTGGTCAAAGCCCCTCTGGAGTTTTGCTGTTGATTTGGTGGCAGCGGTTTCTGGTATGGGATCAGATGGACAAATATTGTCTATGTGGGAGTGGAGCGTATGGAAGATGTAAAGATGGAAGCGTTCTCTAGCTGTGGCAGACAGGAGTTTGCAGAGCAGCTTGGAAGGGAGGAAGGAGAGTTTCTGTGCTCTCAGAGAACAAGGGAAAATCTGCCTTATGATACAACATAAATATGTATAATATAAACAGTGCAATATATAATATAAGCAGTGTAATATAAATGTATATTACAAGATAAATATAAAGCATACTAGTAATATAAATGATAAATTTTCCTTGATAAATTTTCAAATAATTCACCCCTCTGTAAGAGTGGTACTAAATGCAGTTAAGCATGGGGCTGTTTTTTGCTAAATTAGGGCTTTAGCTTAGTTGAATCCAATTGGTATTCTAAACAAAGCCAGGCTGACTTGTGCATTTCTCTTTGGGAAGGTGACACCTTCAGCTACGAGGACGTCACTCGAAATGCTCTGCAATACGTGCACGATGGCTCGCTGACGGCAGAGGACAGCATGGAAATCTCTGTCACTGATGGTGTCAGCACAGTGACAACGGTGCTGAGAGTGGAAGTGTCCCCGCTGGATAACAACGGCCCACAGCTGGCCCCAGGCTGCTTGTTGGCAATGACTGTGGCTAGCAAAAGCTCCGTGACTCTCTCTCGGCTGCACCTCGCCTACACTGTAAGCTTCCCTCTATTTCTGCCTCAACCCTAGACGTGCTGCCAGCAGCCCTTCCTAATCCCCACGCGGAGCCTTCACAGCACGCCCCTCTCCACAGTGTGGATTCTTGGCACAGAGCTCAAGTTTTGACTCTATTCTAGCTGCTGCTGCCAAAAAGGGGATAATGGGCTCTTTTATCCACCAGGGTTTAAAGCTATCTGTGTTTGACTGAAACAGAGGTGAACTGCCATGCTAACATGAGAACTGAGTTAATCCCAGATTTTGGTACCAAACAGACTTGCTAATAAAGCGCATGCATTTGCTCAGTGATAATCCCCGGACAATTTCTGTCTACCTGTTCCGTCCCCCCGCTGCCTTTCCAAATTGCCTGGTTCTTGTTCCAGACATGCTTGAGGACTTCTTAAGCAGTCCAAGATACTGCACTCCTCGACAGCATGGAGTTGACGCCGGGTTTTTGCGCTGTCCAAGACTTAGGCTGCAGGTGAAATTCAGAAGAAAGATATCTTGCTCCTAGCAGGTGATGTAGCAGCAAAGACACTAGCGGTGGTTACGGGTATTTCTCTCCCTAGCGAGGAGGTGTGAGTGAAACCAAAGCTCATGTGTGTAGCTGGAGAGACGTCATGTAATGGCTGTTAGAGAGGTACTCAGGGAGCTGCAGAGTGGAGGCAAGATAAGAAGGCAGATGAATGTTTTTTTCCAAGGGATACAAGCCTGTACCCAGCAATGTGAGCAGCTCTGCACGGTCAAGGATGTCAGCATGTGCACTTGAGATGTAGCACTGTTTTCGTGTGGATCGTGTCATTGCAGCTGCTGGTTCTGTGATAGCTGCTTTCTGAGCAGGCAGGTTGGAGCCTGCCTGAAAAAATGCATTTCAGCTGCTACAATAAAAATGCATTTCAGCTGCTCCCTCCCTGTTGGCCCCATTGTTCACATTTATGCAAAGTTGTGAGCTCTATATATAGACCCCTCAGATGTCCCGAAGATGCTAGGCTGACCTTAAGAGACTCATTTCCTGTCCTGATAGCAGTGATAGAAAGTTGTTGGGTGTTGCAGTTGAAGTGTAGTCAGCCTCAGAGGAGTGGTTATACCATGCCATTCCTGCAAGAACTATGTTGTCCAGGCTCGGAGGAATTTTAACCTGCGTTGTGTCAGGCTCTTTTCTGACAGCAACAAACTGTGCTCTCCTGGCTGGCAACAGGTAACAAAAATTACAGCTTGACAGAAGTAAATATACAAAAGTATATGAATCAATTACGCTGAGTCAGTAAAGCACTGGAACGTGAACAGTTCTTGTCTGACTGATTACTTTGACCCTTCAGAAGTCTTTTCCCCCCGTTAACAGCTCCGATTGCTTCACTTCTAAACATCGTGCCTGTTGCGCACTCCTCGTACCAAGCAGCCAAGAAAGGCGCATGGCCTCAAACACCTTGCAGCACTGTTTTTTCCAGGGCTACCTGGATTTGTGGCTATCCTTGGAAAACTGGCAGCCAGGGCTTTACTTTTATAGCAATTTGGCAGCAGACATGCAGAGGCGTGTACCCTTGGGGCTTGCCAAAACGCCTCGGCAGGGGAGGCACAGCGGTTAGGCGCCCCTCCTACTCGAATGCTTTTATAAGTGCAGTTGGTGTGTTGTGGTACCTAAATCAATGCATAAAAATGGCTTCAAAGAACAGCATCGACGCATTGACAGTCTCTATGGCTAGGCCGGATGGAAGTGATTTTTCAGAATTTTATCCTGTGAGCATATAACTTTTTGCACAGAGTTGAGTCTATCCTGTTCTCTTGGAACAAGAGGCAGGCTGACACAGAAAACAAGATTTGGCTTCTGACCTATGTGTTGAGGATATGATATTTTCTGCTTTGGGTCTTATCCTTTTGGACACCAACAAAAGCCTTAGGGAGAAAGATGCTGTGGTTGTACTTAATGTAGTTATAAGGAACAAAATTGAGCATTCACTTTAATGTGGATCTGTCTGTTGTAGCCTTGCTCTAAATTGGCTTTTTTTTTAGCTAAGAACCGAGTGTAGCTCTGTGTCTCTGTGGGAAGCATTGGTCGGCAACTCTCTGCCATGTGTAAGTAACATTTTGGCTCAGTTTATGTGGAGCCAGCAAAAGCACATTATATAAATGGTCCACTAGGAGTGTAATTTGAAATTAAAAATACCAGGCTTATCTCTTGGAGAATGTGTTGGTGCAATAGAAGGACAGAGGGAAAACCTCTTGGTGCTGACTGAAAAAGCAAAATGCATTTTGTGACAGATACTGGGATGTACATCCAGCTGACTGTTTCTTCATCATCAGAGCTTCTCTAGTATTCAAAAGCTGAGGATCTGACCCTACTAGCTTGATGCATAAAACATTTTCTTCCACTTTCCATTTAGTGGAAGCTAATCTTGATTTTTTTTTCCTCTTTTTCTTCTCTCCTGTATTTAGGATAATAATTCTCTCGACTCAGAGATAAGAATCCAGTTAATATCTCTGCCCACATATGGCACCCTCTTGCGGACGTCTGGTTCTCATGGTGAAGAGCTTTCCAGGGTTTATAATTTCACTATGGAAGACATCAACAACCAGAGGATCAGGTATCAAAGAGCTCTTCTCCTTCAAGCCTTGCCAATTAAAAGCTTAGGGGGCTCTGTGCAGGGAACTCAGGACTATACGATATTAGGGCAGTGCATCAAAGATATTTTTCCATTCTGGGCTATTGTCTCCTGGGAGATTTCAAATGAGAGCATTTCCTACATACAGAATTGGGTATTCCTGCACGTCTGAAATACCCAGACTTTGTAAAGCTTCAAACTATGAGGATATCCTTCTGTGTCCACAATGTTGTAGTGGTACTTTGGACGTGCAATACCAAAAAGAGTGATTTAAAAGAACTCTGGGAATGGGTGGGAAGGGGAGTTTGGACCTGGAGTGCCACCTCTCTTTGGAGAAGCGTGTGCTCATTTCTCACTGCAAGGATGGGGCACTTTGGCCAACTTCTTGTGTAACTCACTGACCCAGGCTGTGTTTTGACTTGCACAGCTACTCCACCATGTTTGAGACCGGCAATCAGCCAGTCACGGACGTCTTCCACTTCGCTGTTTTTGATTCCGATAACAACCGGCTTGACAGCCAGATGTTCACCATCACCATCACATCTGCCCAGACAGCACCATCACTCATTGCTTTTGCTGACCATATTACTGTAAGTGGCCACGGAGGATGGTGGGAAGTGTGTCAAGGATGTGTTGGATATGAGGAAGCGAACAGTCTTTTTCGGAATGGAGGGGAAATCTCTGTGGAAGTACAGTGTTACACATCCAGGATTGTGAGTGCAGAAAGTTAACAAAATACTCGGAGGACAAAGGAGGCTGAGGGCACTGTTGCAAACCTGAGCTTCAGCTGTTTACTTCTGTACTGGTCAGGAGCTGGGGCCAGAAGTTGAGTCTGAAAACATCTGGGGCTTTAGATTGATACAAAGCTTTTCAGTCTCCTTATCGTAGCCTTTTGAAGTCATGTCCCTCTGTTTCAGCTTTGCATCCCCCCTCCCTTACCTTCAAAAGCTTCTGCTCAACACAAAATGCAGATGTCACCTGCTGAGAGCTCTGTGTGACTGTGTCAGTCCGCTTTCCCCCCAGTAAAGCACCTGCAGGCTCCTCCTGGAGGACAAGTAGGCTTGGTCCTTCCCATCCCACCACAGCTCCTAGCGGATCTTGTGTTCAAATCATCTGGAGAAGGGTGAAATGGGACTAAGAGATGTGAACATGCAAGGACCTGGGAAGCTTCCTCCACAAAATGACTGTGCAGACCTTCTCGGGAGCATCTGGTGTGTTGTTGCGCGTTGATGGTAATTTTGCTGCATTCTTTTTTTTTTCCAGGTGGATGAGGGGGGCAGGGTCCCACTGTTGGCTCATCACCACTTAGCTGCTGATTATGATACTGCCATCAAGGAAGACCTGCGGGTCACGGTTATCACTCTACCTATGTACGGCTACATTGAAAACACTAAGACAGGTAAATGTGCCTTTCCAGCATGTTTTACTCTGTCAGTCCTTGTAGTACAGAATTCCACAGCAAACTTCAAAGGTAGGTGATCTGGCCCAGAGCATGACTGGTGACACTCACTTTGTTACTGTGAAGAGGCAGCATTCCTCTTGTACTGTCCAAGGATGTTCATCCAAGAGGCTTTTCTGCTCACTCCTGTTGTCCTAAGAGAAGTGACGTTTTACTTAAAGCATGATTTCCCTTTCTAAAATATCCTCATGTATTGGCCAGTGTGGTGACTTGTCACCAGAGTTACTCCTGGAGCACAAGAGCTGCTGGTCTTCATAGCTCATCTCTCATCAATAAACTCTGGACTGTGCCATTTTGGTCATAGTGAGCCTCTTCCAATTACCAGGCTCGGGCTGGGTGGATTTTTTTTGGCTTCGAGACATAATTTTTCAAGAGAAAACTTGATGTAGTGATTGTGCTGAT